CCACCCCAAAGACTGCTGAAGTCTGAAGCTCTAATTTAAAATTACTGCATACTTTTACAGCAAATTATACTATGCCTTGATGGGGTCCTGCAGCTTCAATAACAGTGAAACAGAGCTGAAGACAGAGTGCCAATTTACAAACTAAACTCGAGTTTTATACATCAGGAAACCCATGACCAAAGTGGATTATAACATAAAACCCTGACAAACAAGAAGTTACAACATCAGCAGCGAAATAAAGCATTTTTATTATCAATCCCAAATCAGGACTCTCCTAGAAACATATTTCATCTCACAACCTCTCATTGTATTTGTATTACCTTTTCTAACTAATGTTTAAAAATAAATATTTGACTTTGGGATGTATAGAGCTTATTTAGTTTTTTTGCTACCCCTTTCTTTCACCTGCAATGAAAATCTGCAGTGCTGTGCTGCTTGCTACAGGTTGTAGATCTGAGTTTTCAGCTTGTACAGTCACACTCATTGTGTTTACTATGCAAAACAGCTGTAACAGTATGTGGGAATGAAAAGCCCTAATTTTCGTGGAATCAAATGATTTGTACAAATTTTACTTCTGAATTGCTCTGGAATCTTGAAATTGTCACACAATTAAAAAAGCCATTCAAATGTCTTTCCAGTCATTAATTTTCTGGCTTTGATGCATTTGCCACTGGGGTTTTCACAGAATATTCAGCTTTCCAGATGGTTTCGTTTACATTTCTAAGGCGAGAGACGCAGTTTGCCATCGTGTGGAGCTCGGGTCTCAACTGCAGGTCACACCTAACGAGGGGACAGCTAGAAAATGAAAAATTCCTAGCACCTCTGTGGTTAGCCCTGCTGAATAATTGCTGCAGTAGCTGAATTTTGCTGTACAGATGTTGGTAATTTGCTATTGAAAACCACCAGTATCAAACTGTCAGAGTCAAGAAATGGCTTTAATTATTTCCTCCCTGGAGCAGTAATAGCCATTACTTGAGCACTGCCAAAGCTGGAATGTGTTTGTGTGGGTGATTTCTTAGCACATGGAGTGCAGGCAACTTTACCTGCACTTGCCAGGCCTTTGCTCCCTCCTTGTGGAAGGAGATTTGCTTCAGTCAGGGCCAGATCATCTGGAGACCACCACGAGCTTTCCTCCTTTTCCCTGGCCACCAAAGACTAACATTGTTTTTCTGCTTCATTGAGTCCTGAAAATAGAAGATAAATCAGACAGAAAGCCGTTGGAACTAAGGACAAGAGGAGAAATCTTCTCTGGGAGGGAATAATTAAACAAAAATATCAGAAGCTATGGGAAATTTGATGAGAAATTGTACTGAGAAAGAAGGTGAGGTCAGCAGGGCTACTGCAGGAGTCTCCTCCTCACCCTGCATAAGTAAGCACTGCCTGGGCTCTCCCTTCTTGCAGTATTAGGCACAAATAAAACCACAGTCAAAACCACACAGCTTGAAAAAAATACAGTGAAATTCAGGAGCAGGTCAAAATATTTTTACCATTTTCCAGCAATTTCAACATTATTCTCTCTCCTTCATCAAATAGATCCAAACCCCAGAAAAATTAAAAACTGATGTTAATGTGAACGTTTCCACAGGAGCCTGCAAGGGGCTTTGGCTTGTGCTTCAAAAGAACTAAAACCCCTCCAAAATAACTTTTGGGCTAGGACATTTTATTCCTCATTCCCATGCTGTATTGATTTGGGAAGACAATCTAACCTCTGCACCTCCAAAAGCAGTCTTGTCTCTGAAGTGGGATAAGGTTCTTCTCCCTAAATAATTTGATGACTTTTTCTACCTCTGACAGAGAAGTGCTGAAGCAAAGTTTTCCCCAAGTCTGGGGGAGTTTGTTTCCTAGAAGAGCAGGGAACACCGAGGGTGTTCCTGCAATATCCATGTGCTTGGCCAGCAACGAGCTGCCGTTCCTTTGAAGTGCTCACTTTGGATATTTGTGGATATTTGTGCATATGGAGACAGGGTGTGTTTTCCCCACACACAGCAACCTTTCCTTCTGCTGACTGCACAGCCCAACCCAACGGCACAAGTGTGGCATTGATGCTTTCCGCGTTGCTCCGGAAGGGAGAAGCAAAATGTGGCTTATGAAAAAGAAGGAACATGATAAGGAAAACCAGTCTCATGAAATATACTGGAAATACTTGCCAGCTTAAAAGCTTTTAAGTCATTAAAAGCTCACCTCCAAGTCGTGAGCATGTTTGCTATTAATTTATCTAATATTTTTAAGTCCTAGCAAGGAAGAGGTCAAGAATGTTTTAAGTACATATGGATTTTCCTAGAATTTTTTTTTAATTTCCTTCCTTTTCAGGTCAGCAATAAAATTTTAAAATCTTGGGGGGGAAAATAAAAAAGGTAATGGTCCCTACTTTAAAACAAGCAGCTGAGAAGGGAGGAAAAATGGGATTTCTTCGCATGCCAGTGAAATCAAGACTACCAGGTTTTGTGGAGTTTGAGAAACATTAAGATATTTTTTCAACCAAACTTGTGCAATAAATATTTCTGTGAGATGATCACCTCTAATTGCTGCTGTTGGTATCACAGCACAGCAGAGATAACCAACACCATCTGTCAGCAGCAAAGGCAGACTGACCATTAATGAAAGAGATTCTAATACTGCTCAATAGAGGCTGATGATCAATAGCTATCAAAGTTCTGCTGCTCTCTCTCTCTCCCCACGCCAGCCAAGAGTAATAAATAATAAATAATAGATAAATGATAAATAATGAGTTCTGAAATGCTCCCCTGTGTCTCTGCATGGGCAGGAACTGTTCTGGTTGCAACAAGCACTTCTTGTGTGTGGCACCTCTTAACCACGAAATTGATACCTAAGGACAGAGCCTGGTGTCATCGACATCCAGCTCACAGCTGAAACTATTTTGGAGTTTTGTTAAGAACTCCAAAGTAATTTGATGAATGTACTTTGATTAAGCTACAGGATTTGATGAATGGAGATTAATGATTAAAATGCTCCAGCCTAAGTCCTCACACAATGTGATGGCAAATAAGTCTTCAAAGAGATTTATTTTTGTTCCTAGCAGCTGGATATCTAGAGTCTGCCATTCCTGAGGGAGTCCCAGAGACCCACTTGATGATGGGAGTGTCTCACAGCTGTAAGAGACTCGGATTGTTAAACAATGACTTGAGCTGGAACATATTTTAGTGACTAGACTCTGCAAGCCCTGAGGTCTCTAATTGCCTGCAGGCAGTCTGCTTATCACCACAAACCTGGAGCTCCCATCTTGTAACATGAGGCAGTGAAAGCCTGTCTTGAACGTGGAATTCGATTACAAGGAAATGATTCCAGGAAAAAAAAACCAACAAGAACACACCTTTACACCCCATTTTTCTGCTGTCAGAGGGGCAGGTGGGCTCAGGGCACCTTGACATCATGAAGATGGATCCTTATTTACACTTACACAGGAAAGCTGCTGTGAAAATTAATTGTTTTCCTTACCTACAGACAACACTTATTTACAAGGCAATTTATCAATTACAAACACTTCCATTTTGAATTTGAATGGAAATTAAACTCGGCCAATGCCAGTGGAACATCTGAGAAGTCACAATGACAGATGCAAAGCTTTTTTAAAGAACTTTATAAGCCACATTTAAAAATCACTTTGAAACACTCATCAAAGATTTAATTATGGGCTCTGTAGTGATCTGTATTACCAGGCCTTGATTATTTCTGCAAAATATGCTACATTAACTTACACACGATGGAAATGTAAATTTAAATAGCTTTAAAGTATTAAAATTAAATCACCATAAACAAAATTAATGAATAACATTTTCATAGCCCTAGTTTTTAGGGAATTTGTTCAGTAGCTGATTAAAATGCCAAAAGTGGTCATTTTCCATCATGCAATAGAAATCTAACTACGCAAAGTTCCAGTACAGCCTTGAAATAAAAAAAAAAATATCTTACAATCTATCTTACTTTGATAGAAGATAAATACATTAATAACGATTTTTAAGAGGCAAAAAAAATCCCCACTAAATCTGGCATCATTCTAAAATTTCTAAAAATTATTTAAGACTGTTTCCTAGTTTTCTTGTTTAGTTTGGTTTTAATTCAGTAGCAAGATATTCTGGGGGATATTGTTCACATTAAATTAATTTGCCTTAAAAAAACTTAATTCCTATTTCAGGCAGTGACAGAAGTACAATTAATCTACAAAAGAAATAGCTACAATTCCCCTTGAAAATTAATCTCTTTTAGAACATGACATCTAACTGCCATGTGATAAAACACGGTGGGACACTTTGGGTCAAGATGAAACAGCATTTTGTATGACAATAATGAATTATTATTCTCCTGTTTTGACATGTTTTAATGCTATGCATCTTTTTGGTTAGTTATTTTCAGTGACAATGGCGCCTCAGTCTCACACAGCACTTTGTCACAACACAATTCAAGATCTACTTTGACTTTTTTTCTTCCCCAGGAACACAGATTATTTGGGATGTCTGACTGACTGTACAAAGAATAATTTGCTTGTATGATGCCAGTAATTTCCAAGCACCCATCATATTTTAAAGGCAGAAATAGTCAATGGTTTTGGATTTTAAAAAATGCCAATAGTGACAATTTTGAAGCTATTCTGTGTCACTGTACCAGAAATCAGACTGCTGGCAGTGTGCATGTTCACAGGGAAAGAGCAGCTGAGGGAATATGGAGAAACTTCAGCTCTGAAGGCAGGTGAGATCAGTGTGTTAAAAATCACCTGAGCAAAATAACAGAGAATAGAAATTATTCCTATGAAAGAGGAAAGCTACTTTAAATGAAACCCACTCGTTAAAAATGCTACTGCTCATTTCCATGGAGTGAGTGGAATACCTGATAGCACTCTGTGCACTTTAAACATATTTACAACCAAGGGATATACCAGGAGAGGAAATGACTGGTCCCATTTCTCCAGGGATGATGCTGAACCCAGGTTTCTCCCCTAAAAATGTTTTAAATTCCTCAGAAAAAAAAAAAAAAATCACACTTACTTCTTTTCTGCAGTAATCTGGCACAGTTCTTTCCTGTGTATTTCTTGATAGAACGGTCAGGGAATCTTTCTTCCTAGCTGGGAGTGAAGCTGTCACCTTCTCAAGAGACTAACTCAAAAGGCTGCTCAAAATGATCCTCCCTCCTTAGCAAGGCCTCCACTTCCTTAAGAATGATAACCAAGAAAAATCTCACCCATTTGGGGACTGAGAAATGGAGGAGCTTTTTTTTCTCCTGTGGGTTGTTCATTACTGCAAGTTCCAGCCACTGCTGGGCCTTCAGGTGGCTTTTCCCCTCAAATGTTTAAGCAGAAATAGATGTAGATAATGATGAACTTAATTACCACCTGAAGCTCTTACAGAATCAGGTCTGGAGGGAAGTAGATTTCAGTGTGTCCTCAGCTGTGGAACTAGAGACAGGTGCAGGCCAAAAAAAAAAAGGCCAGATCTAATCATTCCTCTTCAATGCAGCTGGTTTAACAAGAGCACAGAGGATTTTTTGGACCATGCTTGGAAAACGGGAATTTTCATCTCTTTGCTCTTAATGTACTGTGCAGAAAGGTCACTTGTTCTGGCAGTGGCTAATGTGTGACATCTGAGCAGCTCCTTAACAGGGTAAATTGCTGTAGTTCAGAGGTATAAATAGCCCCAGCAGCACTCACCAGCCGAGGAGCCGCTCAAAAACGCTGCTGATTAATTTCCTGTTAGCAGGTTGGTCTTCCAATGCCTCTAGAGAACTTCCTGGCAGCGCAGTGAAACCCCATTTGCAGAGTGGCATTTCCACACTTTTGCCTTTGATTCCCAAGCCAACACTTGATGCCTCCTATTGATCACATCCCCCCACCTCCGCCGGCGGCCTTGGCAGGGAGCCGACTCGGGAACCTTCCTGGTGCAAGCTGGACCGGCCCCATGCAGATGAGCCTTGGCTTTAATGCCTCCTGTCCAGCATCTGCTCGTTCCTCCCCCTGTACCTGTCCTTCCATGGAGTCTTCTCCACGTGTGGAAGGACTTTGTGCCCTTCTTCCTCTGGCATAGTGCTGGAGGATATAAATATCCTTCACTTCCGAGTGTACATGTGTGCCTGCCTCTTAAAGAATTTCTAGTTCAGCAGCATTTGAGTGACCAACAAACACTGATTAAAATCCCCTGTTCGAGTGGAGCATTTTCTGGTAATTTGGCTTTAAGTACTGTCGTAGCACACGTGACATTTACAGTCACAAGATTCATTCACTAAAAGCAGTTGCAGAAAAAGGTATTTGAGCAGCAGAACCCAAAATTCACATGGCAAACCTCAGAGTAGGGTCTTTTTCTACAAGGTTGAAGTATCAAGATGATGAGCTCCACTTTTCTGACACCCACATGAGTTCTGATGAAATATAACTAAACACACTGAAGATCCTGATGGAGAATTCCTGCTGTCCTCAGGACAGGCCAGCGCCAGCAAGTGATGTAGTTCCTGTATCCATGTGTACAGCTGAGATTTTACTCCAAGTTAGGGAAAATGGAAGCAGCTGGAAGGCAGAGGGACAGAAGACGCTTTTAGGGCTTCTCTCCAGAGTCCCAGTGACCAGCCCCAGGTTGGTTAATGGAGGTGGGCCAGAGGCAGGACCCTGAGTCGGTGGTTTAGGCACAGTCCTTGCTACCCCTCTGCTTCCTGGCTGTTAGTTCAGCATCAGTACCCTAGAAAAGCAAGTGGCAGAGACATGGGTAAGAGGGGGAAAAAGGAAAAGCCAGCATTTTATGTCGGATTTTGGGCCACAAAATGTTAGTGTGGAGATGGAAAAGCGCTCACGTCCCTGTACTCCATCTGCTTGCAACAAGATACTCAGTCCCTGTGTAAAGCAGAGGGAAAAGGGATGAGTTTGTTTTTTTATTACACACTCATGTAGATTTTGGAAGGAGGAAACCAAGCAAGCCAAAATTAAATATAATTTTCTCTTTTTCCCCATAGACTCAGTCTGGATGGATGCCAAACCACATTTTGGAGGGGTGAGAAAGGCCCAACATCTGCTTCTGGTGTAACTGTTTGTATCTTCACTCTAAGAAAATTAGGTTTGAAATAATCTCAAATTGTCTGACACCTGTATCCGATTAGAAGTGACACACGGAAACACCTTCAGCGTACTGAATTTAGCACCATGTCAACAGTTTAAAGTGAAGAGGAAAAAAAGTGGTAAAACTCATTGCTTCCCACTTTCTGCTGGAGCAGACCTTGTGTCATTGCACAGGATCCTACTGCAAGCTGGATCCATAAACGTAATGGGGTTTGAAGCAGTGATTATAATATGGTTTGTATCCCTGGTTGTCGCTGGAATTAAATTCAGGAAGGCACCTCAAGGTGACTGGAGCATTTTGAGCTCAGTGCAGGCACACCTGTGGGCTGGGTGCCAGCCAGCACGTAGGATATGGATACACAGCAATTTCAGGGACATTTTTTCCTGAAGCTCAGGTTTGGCATTTTGCAGCTTATGGGACTAGCAAGCAGGGATTGATTTTTAACTCTCTTCCCAAGCCTATGTAACCTCCCACTTGCAAATTCATTGCTTTCAAGAACAAATCTGGTGACCTTTTCCCAGATAACACACTGACAATAATATCCAAGTTATTCTGAGAAGGACATTTGTTAAAATTCATAAAACTTTATGACTGCTATAAAATTTATACTACCTAAAAATATACTATCCATTACAAAGACAAATGTCTTCCCATTTATTTTTAAACGTGTTCCTTGGAGAACTTTGAATCTATTTGTTTTGAGAGATTGTTTTTCATGTTAGTCTGGGAGAAAAGGAAACTGTATACTTTTTAAATAATATTGTTTTTCAGCAAATCTACATCTTCAAGGAGCAATATCTAGAGTCAAGAACACACAGAACACACTAAATTTTAACATGAACTATGGGATGCTAATAAAAAACATGTTAAAAATGGAAAAATGGAAATAGTAATGGAAAGACAGACCAATAACACTGAACCATTTTCTAGAGAAAAGTGTGCCTGCAAGACCCTGTAACAAGAAAAAGTGTCAAGGACAATTTAAGCTTTTTCTTTGCCCCAGGACAAGCTAAATGCGCTTTCTGAATGATGTGGAACTAGTGACACTAAACAAAGGATAATATGTAATATTTTACACACACCTATAGCTGAAAAATACCAGAGAAAACCTGGAGAACAATGAAACCTGTTTGAGATGAAATTTATTCTAAGGGTACTTGACAGAAATTTCAAGCCTGCTTAGACTTGTTATTATTAGAGCTGAGTCACTTCGAATTTATTGGTTTAACATGACATACACTGCTAAGGTCAAAGTCTCCTAAAATGCTTTAAGATCTATTATTGACCATATTCTTACCTCATACATGAAAGATGCCTTATAGCTTCCTTCATGGATGGCCCCAGTGCATGGAAAGACAACCATCAACAGTTTCTGATTTATGTAAATGTTATGCAGTTCGTCTTCCTAAAAATTCATTGGCCTGGAAAAATAAAATGGTTTTTCACTTTATGCTTTTGGTGGAAAATGTTTATGACAATATGATTATGGAGAAAAATGCAAGCAGACCAAAGTATAATAATATATAAATGGACATTATCAATGCTATTGATCTGGGTAGATTTTTTTTTTCCTACTTTGCTTTCTGGAAGGCTCAAATGAAACCAACCAATCCTATTCACTAACTCTGTAAACTCGTGGTGTCGCTCAGAGCAATGCGAGTTTGAATTCCAATTGAGATGGAATTTCAGGAGTGGTTCCTGGAGTTCCTTTGGAGAATGAGCATGTCTGAGTAGGGCTGTGCTCTGCCAACCAAGCTCATGCTTAGTTTTCACAGAATAAATTCAGTGTGCATTTATCTGGCAGAAGTTACTCAGCCATTTTGAGCAACTTGACCGCAACGTGTTATCACCAGCAGAGATTTTTCTCCACTGAACATGCAAATGCAACTTTTTTTCTGACAAAATGTGGCTTTGTTGCTCTCAGACACAATTTGAGGGCAGATCACTCATATGCTGACAATATGGCTAAATATTGATGTTGGTGTTACTTGGATAGCAGACCCATAACATATTGCATCTATCAAGCAATTATCTTGTCACTAGCTCTTGAAAGTCCAGAAATATGGAAGTGCACAAGCATTTGTTGATCCTTGTCATTCCCCACACCAATAACTTGCAGCTGGAAACCAACAACCTACTTTGTACCTTGTTGGGCCACAAGATGTTCTGAGAATTCACTGTGCACAGGAAATCCAGACTTCTGAAAGTGTTTCTTGGCTGATTCTCTGGGCTTCCGGTAGATTTTATTTGCACTCTAACCCAGGGATTGCATCCCTTCACCTATAATGCTGAAGTTATTCTGAATTTGGTTATTGGTTTATGCTGAAACAGAACTGAACTTCAGCACATATTTTTCCCTGATGCAGAGTGGCTGATTTTTTTACTATGATTATATACAAAACCTTCATCATTCTCACTGCAATAAAGTAATTAAAGAGATGAGAAAGAGAAATCCATTGATGACATGAAACTTATTCCTTCACTTCTTTCCTTTTTTAAATGACAACTGTTTGGAACAAGGATCCTGCTCCTCAGTAACCTAAAAGCAGCCAGTGTTAACTTGTCATTCTAGCAGGAGCAATTACAGCCAACATATTAGGAACCACATAATGTCATTTGCTCTATTATGATGTGTTTGGATAGCAACTGTGAAACTGCCATTTTTCACAGCTTTTCAGGATTTATGAAGAAAACCCCCACAATTTTACTATTTTCATTCCCACACCATTTTTCCAGTGACTTGCCCAGATTTTGCTAACAGAAATAACAATACCCCCTGAAGTCTGCCATCTTATTTTTCCAAGAGTGCAAAGGAATACAGACAGGGGGCTGTGTCAGCCCTAATAACACCAAGGGTTTCAAACACTGCAGTGGCCTCACTAAACAGAATTTAGACGCTCCAGAGTTTGTATCCTTGCCTGCAGCAGCCTGTTGGATTGTAGCTGGAGATGAAGGATGGACATTATCACTGGCTTGGCCAAGTGCTGCTGGTGCTCAAGGTCACTCCCAAGCCCACCTCTGCACGTGCTGGGTGATGAACGGCCGCGCTCAGCCGTGATGATGGGCCCATCCTTCTCGCAGGCAGTGACCAACGCTGAGCAGCTGGCTGCAAGGCTGCTTCATCTTCCCACTGGCTCAGGGGGGGGAAAAAGAAAAGAAAAAGGAAAAAGCCCACTATTAGAAAAAGATTTATCAGCAAACCTAGCAGAGCCATGCTTGACCTCCATATCTTCTCTTGTTTCCCAAAGGCAGCACATGTAAGATATTTCCTGCCTTTCATGTTGCTGGCTGGAATGCATCACCAAGTCCAAATTTGCAACCTGCTGTCTGTTTTAGTCATTAGGCATGACTTTCTTTGTCTCTTGATATGAACTGCAGCCAACTGTTCACTGTTGTAATAAAGCACAATTTCTCCAGTATTCCCCCTTCTCTTGGACAAATAAACAAAAAAAAACCCAGCCAGGCTAAAAGCTGCAATTCAGTCACAGGCCAAGGCTGCTGTATCTTACAGTACCTCATTCCCACAGCAGCACCACACTCTGCTCTAGCTCACCAAAACATTAGCCACAGCAGCCCCCACCTGTTATTCAGGGACCAAAATTCAAAGGTTAATGAACAACAATTAAAAGATTGCTACTGGACTTCCAACAAGCTTATCTGACAACATGAAAGATGGAGTTTACTGGCTGCAGCTTGGTTCTACATTCACTCATCTGTCCATAAGATCCAAGCATTGTGAACTCTGTATTATTTTTTAAAATTATATCCGCTCTGCAGAGACATACCCCAGGTTATTAAACTACTGTATTATCTTTACCAGCAGTGTGTCTTGGAATTATGTTGTCAAAACAGTTATTAGGCATTTCAACATCTGACCACCTTCAAAATCAACTGAAGGCAGTTTTTAAGGACGTTAAACTATTTTAGTTAAACTAAAAGGCAGGTCTGGTTATGCTTTGATGGCCACAAGTGGTACACAAGTACTGGTTATGCCTTTGCTCCACTAATATTATATATATATATTTAGTAAATGTGTTCAAAATGAAAGAAAGTAGAATTTCTGACTGTATCTTTAGCAAGCCTTCTGGAGGAGAGAAAAGAAGAACTAAAATAGGTGCATGTGACAAACTGATACCTGGTTTGAAAACCGGATGAGGGGGATCTCACCCTCACAAAAAGTGACCTGTAGGGCTGCTCTGCCACTTCCAACAATAAAAGTTTATTCCATGAGGAGCACCATCAGTAGAACTCGATTTCCTGCTAATTTTTATCCCCTAAGTCTCCTTCCAGTGCCCTAAGTCATCTGCTCTCCATGGGAACGTGTGGATACCTGCAGTGGTCAGTGTGGAGCTGGAGCCATGGGCTGGCCCAGTGGCTGCTGTCAAACCCACGAGGTAACTGATGGGTCCTGCTGGTGTGGGCAGAAGAGGAATCTTTTCCTTCCATCCAGCTCCCAGTGCTCCTAGACATCACAGGCAATTAAGGTGATTAAATCCTATCTGGGTTGAAATTGCTGAGCCCTTTCCAAGGTTATGAAAGGGAAACTGCCTGGCAGAGTCAGGTCAGACCACAGCAGGCTGCCCTGGTAGGTTATGAGCAGCCCATTCCTCTCATTCAGCACAAATAGGTAAACCCTCACAATTAGAAGTAAAACAGCCTTTGACTGTGTTTCACAAACAGTTCAGCAGCTGTTTTTTAAATTATAATACAATTAGATTTTATTTTTTTTTTGTACAATTATTTCATATCAGTCATTGCAAGGAAGTTGAAAAGACCTGGAGGTCAACTCATATATTCATCTCCAAATGCAATTGTCTTATTTATCCATGTCCCTCCTCTGAGTGAAAACTCAGGAACAGGCTCTGTTGTTTTCAATGGTTTGGAATTTCAAGACAGAAATCTGGTAAGATGCTCTGCCAGTTTTTTCCTTGTTCAGTTAGAAAAATGGGCTGAAAGGAGGGAAAACACTGAATGCAGTTGTTCTACAACAGCAGCTTCACTCTTTCCCTTTTAGGAAAAGTTGCAGGATCCCAGACATGAGTCACTTCTTTGGAAGAAAAGGACGGAATAGTACAAATATTTTTGCCAAGGGGCTTCCCCAAGAGGTGGGAGACTCCAGTGAAAAGTGTCTGGCCATGCCATGCATCTCCCAGGCTCACTATTTCCAGCCTTTGCCTGCTACACCCATTTACAGCCTTTGCCTGCTACACCCATTTACTTTGGAAGCTGGGAGCTCTGGTGGAGTAGGGATGCTCAGGCTATTTGTACCTTTGTGTTCCCAGAGGCACACTGTGCAGCTCAGACCCTCAGCTCTAGACTGTGGGCTCACAGCCTAAATGAAGTAATTAGTTGACTCTCATAGCTATTTTAGAGAACTAAAACAGGTAATCCTTTTGGATTTTCTAGTCAAACAGATCCTAAAACGATCACTTTGGGGAAGCTTTCAGAGTGAGAATTGCAAACATCTTTCAAGCAAGAAGATCCTTGCTAGGAGGCACTTTAGTTCAGTCTATTAGATATGTCTGAAAGCAGCCAGCAGAGAAGTAAGACCTGCCTGACTGACAGACAAGGCAGGCTATCTTATTAGCAAAAATTATTTACCCACTTCATGGCTTATGACAACTTGTGTTCCCACCAGTCACAGGAGTTAGTTTTACAGCTTTATGTGTGGTTAAAAAAACCCAAAGAACCCCCTTATCTTTAGACCATATGACAAATCATTGTCATAGACAGAGATGTAGCTACAAACTTTTGTATTTTGGAGCCAAAGTAATGCCTATCTTCCATAAATTGTATAACTCATATGAATTTCTCAGTGCCCACAGATTACAGCCAATTTGATAAAGGAAAAAGTACTTTCTGTTTTCATCACTGAGAGAAATGCAGCTGGGCTGAGGGAAAAACCAGACTGGCACATGAAAAATCCCTGTTAGGAAAAGCACTGCTGGCCTGACTGCACCTCCCATGGGATTCAGTCAACTGCCTCTCGCTCCCTATTCATCTTTGCCACCATCTAAAGAATTAAGAGAGTGGCTGGTGATGAAGAGCACATCAATCATGTTTACTGGGACAACCATGACTGTTACAAAACAGACACTCTTACAGCACATGCTAACCTCCCCCATGCTTTTTCTTTCTTTAATAAAAACTTGTTGAACATTCAGTTCAGGTCTCCTGGGACAGATGCCTGGAAAAGTGCTGATTGCAGGAATAAACCCATTTCAGGAGTTGCCCAAAGCACACTATTTGCAGGTATGGGTCTAGGTGCAATGCCGCTCTCACAGCTGTACTCCTGCTCTTATTTCTTAAGGAATGGCTTTGAAGAGTCTTCAGGAACAACCAGCTGTGTAGAAAAACAGCTAACAGAGAGATCCAGCTTTGATTTAGCTCAATATTTGGTTCATCTGAATCTTTATCCTTTATGGTGGAATGGCTGAGCAGAGGGAGCAATTAAGGAAATTTCTGAACCAAGGTCAGCTCAAGCACAGTCAATATGAAACTACTGTCAAAGCTTATATTCCAAGTTTTCAAATGGGCTAAGGAAAAAACACAGAAAAAATGACTGTGGGCTGAAAAAAAATGAGAAGGCTTCAAACTAGGTAGTTTGAACTGATGCACCAACTCTTGTCCTGAATACAACTTCTTCCTGGGCACTATGAGGTGTTAACCTTTTTTCAAGCAGACAATAGTGGAAGAATGGCTGTAGTTGCTCCTTACTTTCCCTGGCTAAAAATGTACCCTGGCTTGATTTGTTTCTTATGCTCAATAGTTACACTGGGAAAGAATGGGACAAACTTGCTAAAAAATGCAAATGAAAATACCGTTTTCAGATTAATTTCTTACAAAATAATAATAATAAAAAAGTCTTCATGAAGCAAGGACTCACCCGTAAACATTTTAGATGTACCATGCCACTGAGGAAACTGGAGGAGACTCAGTTTGACAGACAATGGGGAAGAAATGAAGTTTCTAGGCAAGACAACTCATGAAAAATGAGCCTCTATCCATTATACCCAAGTTATTCTCCCTTGTGTAGAGACAGAGAATCAGAGGCCTAAAGTAAATACTTGAGTCATCTGATCCACATGCTATAGCCACAACTCATTAGATATCTGCTAATTACAGCTTTGAAAGATGCCATGGAGTGACACAAGGCAGCCCTAGATGTATTTAGTTAGTTTTACAACTGAGGAACATAAGAAACCCTTGGGTTCTTTCCTACAGTCAACAGCTTCAACAAAGAGCTCTCCATTAATTGCAACCACATCTTGTCTATTTTTATGTATGAGAAACACTACAGTCCTTATAAAAACCATAAAACAGCCATTGTCATTTAGGGATGCCATTAATCAAGGCCTTCTTGAGTGCTTCCCCTCCTCAGCTCCCTCGCCCAGCTCTCAGCCCATTGGTTTTTAACTAAAAGCAGTGTGGCCACGTGCAGCCCTTGCAGAAAGTTCAGTATTTTGATTTCAGTGCAGGAAACACTCAGCTGTGATCCCTCTTGCAAAGGAGAGACCCTGAGGTGTTTGCAGGCATTCCCAGCAATGTTAATGACAAAAAAGAATCAATCTGACAAAAAGGATTGAAAATACCCGCTTTGTTCTGAAAATACCTTTCTTTCTTTCCCTCCTCCACTTCTGGAAAATCAGTGCAGCAAGCAGAAGAGAAGCTGAATTCTTTTGGCACTATCCCAAACAGGTTATTTCTGGCATCCTGGAATATTTAGACTCAAGACTTAGAAAAGCTTTCCAAGGGTTAAGGCTGCCTAATGAAGCTGAAGGGTTGTCATTATGTAAGGACCATTTAGACAAGCTCCTGTTAGGAATATTAGCGTATTAATTCTTCTTTGGGACAGAAGCATAGATTAAACAATATCCTAAAATATTCTGGCTATTTCTGGATGTTCTACAACTCAGAAGCCCCCCTGCCCCCCAAGCTGCCACCCTGTATTTTAACAGCCTTCTGTATAATTTTCAAACTCCTTTACAATTCTCCCAGGAGCTCTGCACAGACATACTTGCAAACCCTGAAGAAAACTGAGTAACTCAGTTACTTAGTTATAACAAAAGCAAAAAGGAAAAAAAACCCCAAACCCCAAATGGGATTGTTATCTCATTGAGAAGTAAAAAATGAGGCAGAAGACACACATGATAAAAGAAGATACCAGAGCCACAGCAGTAAAAATTATGAGTTACAAGAGCGATATAAATCCTGTTAGCAGGTTGGCAGAAACCTGACATTTCCAATTCTCCATAAAGCTGTTATATACATCTACTCAACTACAAAATTAAGACTAGTTCTGCCAGTTTGAGTCATGGCCAATTCAGGCAAGCTGCAAAGCTGACCTCTTTTTGAGTCCATGTCAGACACCTTCGTTCTGCAGCAGCTAATTTAGTGCTGCAGTAGATAAGCTTTGAAGCATTACTTTGAAACATTTTTCAAGGTGTCTAGAAAACAGTTAAGTGTTGGAGGATAACTTTGGAGTGCCTTAACTTCTTTTTTTCCCCCCTCCTGACAAATAAAATAGGAACTCCTTAACTCAGATTCACTGCTTCAGGCTCCTAGTTTGAGCTGTGCTTCTGAGCACTGTCATCAGCAGCCCATAGCCAGGTCACCAGTTATCAGAAATACAGAGAAGAGAGCCAAAAGGGACTCTGGGTAGTCCTTTCCCCTGCCCAAAAGATCCAGCACACAGGAAGAGAGGATGGCTGAGTAGGGCAAGCCAGCAATAGCATGGTTCATCCATGTGGTTTTATGGGGCAGTTAACTTTTATTACCTGGTAATTACTGAGGAAGGCTTCAGACAAGCTGACTCTACAGCCCACATGGCAGCAGACTTGTGTGGGCAGTCAGCTCGCAAAAATCATGCTGCAAGACTAATGTTTCAGAGGGGAAAGTCAGTCCATTAGTAAAGCCAAGTTCAAGAAGACAGTTTAGCCATATTTTAATAGTATCAGTAAAGAATATAAATATCAATTCTTAAGTTAAAAGAAAAAAAAAATGTAAAAAGCAGACAAAGAATAGGAAGAAGTTACAAGGTACAACAACAGAAACTATGGAATATCTTAAAAAAGACTGGAGGGTAGGGATCAGATGACAAAAAAAATGTTTGAGAACAGAAAGGCAAAGAGTTTTGAAGTGGGGAGTCTAAACTCCATGTTGCAGAGCAGACTCTTGTTTACGGCATCACCCCTGAAGTGGGTACAACAAGGAGTGAAAAAGTGGGAAGAGAAGGCCTTAGGAGACAGAAAAAGAATGAATACTGAACATGCTCATTTTTCAGAGGAGAGTGCACCACAATCCAGAGGTACAGTGGCTGTTGCCTTAAAGCAGTGGGTATCATTACCAAAGAAGTCACTTGATACTTCCTCCTCCTTTACTGTTCCCTGCTGTGATACTATTTCTTCACACACTCAGTATGTGTGAGCAGAGCACATTACCACTGGTAAAATCAGTGCATTCTTCTCTGTAGAGTCACAGAATGTTTGTGAAATGAGCACTCTGGTGAACCTCAGGCTGCTTTCTCTGAGCTAATACCAGTTAAAAGGTTTTGATCCTCTGTACCTGTTTTACACTTTATTTAAATCTTAAACCCAAAAAGATATCAAACAATCCTGAACCACGTGATGAACATATGCCAAAGTCATATAATTTCCAATCTCTTCTGTTCATTCTTTGCAATAAAAAGCAAAAATTACAGTTGATTTACTGTGCACTCAAACATTGGGAGAATACAGGAACATGTGGGATCAGTTTAGGTCAGGATCAAAACCCCATAATTTCGCTGAGAGCAGCTTCCAAACTAAGCTCATATTTTTTCAGACTATATTTATAGTGCAGTTACTATGTGCCAGTACATCATTAAATGTCCTAAGAACTAAACCCACCCTATTCTTTACAGGGAGGGTTTTTTCCCCTTAAGTCAGAAATACCCATTCCAGTGGAATTCTGCAGGAATCAGCAGCACTCACAGCATTCTGCCCCCATCCATCTCCAGTCCTGATAGCTGCTAAGCTGTCTACAGCCTTTTCTTGTTGCTGGTAAGAGCTTACAGTCTCCTGTTCTCACTTCCTAACATGCACCTTGGCCTGGTTAGAACCACAGCTCCCTTGTCCAGTTTGAATTGGGAAGTAGAGCTGGTAAAAAAGCAGAAGAGATTTGGGATGAATCTGAGTGTCTGGTTCCACCAGCAGCACATCAGCCTTGAGAATGCTGCAGAGAAGAGGGAGGGAAAAGTTACAAAGGCAGAAAAAAAAATATAAATAATAATAATAATAATAAAAAACAACAACTCAGAAGCTGAACAATGCAGCCTTGAACATACATGCTGTTGTCCAGTCCACTGCCCAGAATCCTGGATGGGGAGAGAAAGGACTAACTCCCATTGCCACCACTACAGAGCTCTCTCGTGGGCTGCTCTGTCTGCATGACACAAATAATGATGCAATTGTCAAACCTTCTGCTTCCTGCTCTGTGTGCTCAGCCACACAGTCCTGGTTCAGAGCCTGAGTATTTCCAACCCTACTGCATTAAAGCTGCAAACTGAGAGGAGCATTGTGCAGGAGACAAATTGGCTGTGCATCAGAGATCTGTTTAATGCTCTTACTAGAGGAATGGTGTGTTTTGATGAATGTTCAGAGCTGAGAACTTAGCCTTATCACACAGAAGTTGCTGTCTGCGGGGAGAGGCATGGGGAGAGTAATGCTGCCTGGAAAAGCAGACAGCTGACTTTGTATCTCTCCCAAACAACACTGGGACATGCTGAGCTCAGGAAGCAGCGGGAGAATGAGGAAAATCATGTCCCAGACTAAATGAAGAGTCACCCTGCTTTGCTAGAGTCCACAGCTGCTGCAACATCCACAAACACAAAACATTAGCTGAAAATGAACTATTCCAAGACTTTCTTTTTTTTTTTCCCCTTCTTCCTTTCTTTTCTTTTCCCACTTGAATGTGTGCAGAAGATACAGTCTGAGTATTAAATGTTTTTCTAAGAAGAAAATAACAGCCCCAGAAATAAATACTCTGGGATTTATGGAGCCAGTGCACATAGAGTGGAAGGAAACTTTGCCAGGTTGCTGTAAGCATTCATGAAAGGGTCTCTAACGTCTGACTGGAAAGCACTGCAATATTCAGTGGGATGGACTGAAAGGCAGCCAACATGGCAAACATCTTGGGTGTTTCTATGCCAATAATTACCTTTTATCAAACTTTAACTAGTGATGTCAAAATATTTTTAGTTTGTAGTCATGAAATGGGCAACAAACACACAAGTTTGCTACTTCACACGTTTGGTCTCAAGAGGTTAAGCACGCATCTGTTTCCAAATCGTGTTTAAAATTTAAAACAAGTAACTTCAAACCCCAAAACAAAACAACACAACAACAAAAAGACACCCCAAAAAACCCCCCAACCTTTTCATCCCTGTCCATGCTGTCAAAACATGTCAGCTTGCACACAAATTATGGTTTTTCAGGACTTCTTATCTCTGGTATTTCTCATGACACAATGCCTCCAGTGTAGATCTGCAAGGTAAACCACAGTTTTAAGCATGAATAACAAAACTGAGACTTCCACCAACAGGGTTTTGTTGACAGGAAGAAAAAGGCTTGGACACACAGATATTATTTTGGCTGAAAACAAGTTCAGATTGCTGTGACAGCAATATTTTGGCTTCACAGAAAGAGAAATGAAGACTAGCTTTTTAGCTTTGCTTTCAAACTCTGACTTCAGAGCCAATTAAAAAAATTACAATTAAAATGATTTTGTGAAGACAAACCTAAAGTCAAGCACAACCCTCTCAGCTCATACTGATTAAAAGGGGTTGTACAGGTCTTCTGATTATGCAGCCTTAGTGACATTCATGATGTCAGCAGGTATTTTTGTGAATGGCTTTTCAACCTGAGCATTGAGAAAACCAACAAATGAAATATACTAAGTCTGCCAGTGATCCTATAGCACCTTATTTTTCTTTCTATTAAAGCAGTCAGAAAGGCAAAGAAAAAAAAAATCAAATCCACAAATCCTCTACCATTTCTCTATTGAGCTATAATATATTAAATCACAAATATGAGTCAACAACATCCTGCTGCTGGGAAAAAATGGAAAACCATCGTGGGGAAGAATAAACAAGTGTCATCTGTAGAACACATGGAGCAACGCTCGCGCTCAGCTGTGGGCACCACCATCCCAGGAGGATGTGGGCAGAACACAAAAATCCTGGAGAACAGGGACAAGGACAATGAGGGGCCTATTAGAGAAGGCTTAGGGTTGCTTGTTCTGAGAGCAGAACCCTAACCCAAATCCCCTTTTGTGGCAGTCCTGGGACACGTGAGGAGCAGCTGGGAGGAAGGAAGGGTTTCCTTCACACCCCCAGTCCCTGGACAGCATTAAGCTTTCTGAAGAACAGGAGTGTCAGAGACAAGACTGAGACAAGCACTCCTGCTGTGACTTTCAGTGTAGCAGGGATTATAAATTTGTGCAATGCAATCTGGCTAATTTCTGGGAAGTTCATCATGATCTTGCTGTGTGTGCTTGCTCTAAGTTTTCTTACCCCACTGCCAGAGTGAGAGTGCTCAGCTCTCCCTCTTGGTGTCCACTTGGGCCTTCCTTCCAAGCTGCTCCACTTTGCTCTTGCTCCTGTTTACTGTTACTGGCTCATCAGTGGTTTGCCTGTCTTTCTCCTGAGCATTCCCTCCTGGGTGATGGAAAATGTGCTGGGTTCCCTTTGCTGACTCAGAAACACTTCCCTTGGAGCAGGTAAAGAAACAGGAGTAACTCTGCGGTTTCCACAGGCTGACCAGATTGCACAGAAGATGTGCTGCAAACTAAACAAGCAATTCAGTTAAAATAAGTGACAGTAATTGAAAGTGCTTGAAAGGTCAGCAGTGCTATTTTTAAATAGTTATTTCTTTAATTCTTTAAATAACAACTTTGCATTTCAATGTTACTGTACAAAGTTAAAATGCTTCCAAGCACCACTACTCATCTAAGGCAGCAGCATTCCCATTTGAAATTTTAGGCAAACAGAGGGAATGGATATGGAGAGAAAAAGTCTTCTTCAGAATTACGTGTTGATAAATCCAAAAATAGAAACATTTTCCAAACAAATTTTCTATGTGCAAGTATCCCAGTTTCCCAGCAACTCTGTCAGTGACTTAATGTTAACTTTGTGGGAAAGCAGCTCTGGACAAGAAGCTAAGAGCTTTTTGGAGTCTATTCATAACCCTGCATTTGCATTTGATAAATTGCTTCATTGTTGTAACAACACTCCTTTAACATGATGATTGATTCTTCTTGTTTTACACAAAAAACATTTGGTTTAAAATGCTAATCTTTCGGTATTTTCTCTATCATTACATTAAAAGTTCTGTAAAAATGTTTCAAAACTTCCATTAAATTGTTTAGGTATTTTCCTCAACTAAAAACCATTTTATATGGGCAGAGTTTCTCTACACTTTATATAAAACTGGCACTAATTTTTATATAGCATGATTTTAGTAGGTTTAAAACAAAATGCTTAATTATCTGGATAATTATGTAAAGCTAAAAGAAAGGGAGTTGTAACACAGTTGTAGCCATAACAGGAAATACAAAATTTTTGTCTGGTGTTTTCAATTAATATTTGTCAATTCCCCAACTGCATCCATAATTTCTTGAAAGAACGGCACAGAATCCAAGTTTCTTCTAATTTATGCAGTCGTAATTTTTTTTTACATAATGGAGTTATTCATACCAACATGAGCAGGACCACACTCTGAGCAAGCTGGATCTTGAAGGTTTTTCAACCCAGCTAATGCCAAGGTGAGGGTTTCTTTAGAACAGAAATGCATCCAGGCAATTCCTCTGCTAAGGTTTCAGCAGCAGCAAAAAGCTCCCCCAGAACGCTCTGAGCTACCCAGGCAAGCAAGGCGAGCAATCAAGTGCAGATTTGGTTTCTGCCAGCATCCAACAAAGCTTTTATCACAGCACTCCTCATGATGGGCACAACAGATCCCAGCCCCAGGGTATTTAAAATGATGTTAAAAAGACGTTCAGCATCTAAAAAGATGTTTTATGTCCTGTTCCCTCATGAGCTGACCCACCCAAGCAGCACCTTGGGAACTGGGTACACAGCAAGGACCCTCCACCTGCAGCTTCAGAAACACCCAGCCCCCGCGTCCTTCAGATCCTCTGCATTCATTTCTACTTAAAATTCAGCTTTTCCCCAAGCAGTCTGTAAAACTTTTCTCCACTTAACCTCAAATTGCCTTTCTCCCCTGCTCAGAACTTGAGCTGAAATGAAAAAAAATAAGCTTGGCTTGTCTTGGAGAGTCAAGAAGTAAAACCAGCTTCGAAACAACTGCAAAACGGCAGAAGTAGGTTTCAGTGGGACTTCTAATGTGCTGTGAATTACTCTGGAGCTTAATTAAATTACCTTGCTGAGCCTGGGCCTAAATTAACGTGAGACACACTCCTCAGAGTTTATTTGGCTTGGATAATTAAAGTAAGTAACAAAATGAGGGTTTAGAGCTAATGTACATGGAAGTTTCAGTAATTATTTCTTCACTCAAGCACCTGGCATAGCCTGTTTGGTGTAGATAGTGAACACAGGAATAGGTGAACAAAATTCTTCTGCTGCAGTCCTCTGCTGCAGAAACCAAATGGGGAAATTCCTAAGAACCAATCCTACCTCATCCTCATCCTTTCACAGCATTAAATGTCTCCCTTTTGTACCCCCTGGTTCTGGGTTCCATTGGAAGCCAGCAAGTGGGAGCATGAGCTATTTACTTATTTACTTTAAGCCTGGAAAAATGGGGGAGACTTTGAAAAGGCTGGTGTCGCCTCGAGAAGGGGATGAAATTTCACACTGGTTCTTTCTGAGACCAGTTCATATATCCCAGGCCTTTCCTCTCCCTACCCCATCTCTTCCCCACCAACATAATTTTCCCATTTATGCTTTAAATCTGGTATAATAACTCCAACTCCCTAAAGACCCTGAACCCATTTCCACTCCATAACATGAGAGCAACTCCACCTGGGGCTGTGAAATGGCATTAGGGTAGTGGAGAATATGCTTTGCAGTATTAACATGAATTAAACTGGAATTGAAAATAAAGACCCCTGAACAGAGTTTCTTTTTGCAGCGCTAATAAAATCTGCATTCTTGGCAGCAGCACCCAAAATCTGGCCGGTGCACTGAAAACAGAAACCCTTCCTCTGGCTGGTGTCACCCCTTTCCTTCCCTTCCCTTCCCAGGGCTGCCAAGAACCACAGGTCGCTGCTGGAGGGGAACACCCATCAAGATCTCTCTTAGTCTGGGGTCCCACCAGAATGAACATTAGCTCGGGGATATCAATTCATCTGTCAGTGTCCTCAGCTGAGGGAAAAAATGGATTTGAATAGAAATGAGTGAATGGGGGAAAAAAAAATCCTTGTAAAGTTTTGAAGTTTTTAATGGTTTTGTTTTGATGTGGAGCTCAAGGCTCCAATAAACCTTTCTGTAAGCTTAAATGAAACCGAAAACGTGATAAGCTAAACTCTGTGCTTTGCTGGAATTAACAAAATCTGTGGACCACACTCATTTTTACTGAAGGAGACTGAGTCAGTGCAGTAGCTTTCCTACACCGAGTTCTCACTGATGCTTCTTTGTTGTCACCTGTGTTTATCATCCGCTGTACACGTGTAATTCTGAAATCCATTTTTTTGCAATGGCACCTCGTATGATATTTCTAGTGAGACACCAGTGAGGATTCCCTTAATGACCAGTAACATAGAGCAGCTCTTTGTCTCCCACAGGACACAAAGAGGAACCATAAACCATTCAAAAGGCGTCTTCAAACCCTGCAGCAGCAAGTCCTTAGAGGGGAAAAAGTACCTGATGAGTTGAAGGCCTTCTCTTAAGTTTCCTGCAACATGGCATCAGCCTTCAGATGATCTGCTGGGAGCTCATCAGGCCCCCATGTGCATCATCACTCACAGTACTACACTGTTATGGTCTTCCCACAGCCAGCACAGGCAATGCCAGTAAATAAACTATGGAAGCCAAATCAGTATTCCTTCAAGATCTAGGAGGAGAAATATTGCCACAGAGGGATCGTTGTCTGCTGTACCTTACCCGTTACAAAAGTTTCATTGGAAAAAACACAGATGTTGAAGAGAAAGCTAAAAACAAAGAAGGGGACTCCAGGGCTGTTTCATCTGGATTGCTGTTTCTGGTACTCTGCTGTCAAGTCTCCTGTCACTATCTGGAAATTTTTTAGAATCATTAGAGTGATCTAACACCTTCTGCTAAACTTGAACTCTCTCAGCCTGCAAACAACTTTGTAGGGCCAAATCCGCCTTGTTTCTTCCTGTCCCAAGGAAAACTTACTGAATACCTGGCCTTCCAGTCTCATGATATCCCAAGTGTCCAAAGCCCAAGCATCATGTATTATCCCTTAGTCTCCCAAACTAGCAAGTGGATCCTCACAGGAATAAACTCACTCAGCTAAGATGTCCATTTTCAACTCCTTTGTTCAGGTAACAAAACCAGGTGAGCAATCAGTCACCTTTCTAAATGACAAATGTCCTGTGTTACAGACAGGGAAAGTGCATGATCTCTTGCATCAGTGGATTTTAATCCCAGCCCTCTCAATCTCCCTCTTTAGGACATGAGCCTATTAACTGACACAGAACACTTCAGAAAAACCAGGACAACCCCCTGACAGAAGAATGCTTCTGTTGCAAATAATGTCAGAGATTTCTGTAAACAACACATTGCAAAGGACCACCCATGGGTGTGATCAACTGCTTTTTTACTGAGTACTTTATCAGTGCCTGTCCAGATCTCTCCCAAGTGCTCCAGCTATTGCCATTCTCAACTGCACGCTGAGAAATGAGTGCAGGAAATGGACTTAGCTGAGGCCACAAAACATTTATCTTAATACTAGTCTGGTAGATTACCATGTTTATTTGAAGTGGCATAACAGCCTGCAGTTGAAAAAAAACCAAAAAAAACCCCAACTATAGGGATTTCCCAGTGCTTTTGACTTGTCAGTGCTTTTCCCCAGTGCTTTTGATTTCTCATCAGCAAATAAAAAGGTGAAACACTGTTCCATGGAGTACTTTCTTCAGTGCCAAAATGTGTGCAGTGTGCTGGAGGGTTAACTCCCACTACCTACTTCCCTTGGAAAATTAGTAGGCTGACCAATAATGCTTACTCTTTGGAGGCTTTAGAAACTTATAAATGACATTATTTTCAAATATTTGTTTAGGTCACGCAGCTGTTGAGCCACTTTTATATTTGCTGCTCACTTCAGATGTGAGTTATTCTCATACTTCAATCAGGAAGCAGCTGGTCTGATCAATATATAAGCTTTAGTCCCACACCTACTGGAGAAAACATGTTCTTGTCCAAGAAAATATGGTGTCTGAGGTCAGGATCAGAGAATTATATCCAGGAATCATTACCTGAACCCAAGAACATTAAATTTGACAACTTGCTATGAGATGCTGAGTTTTACAAATTAACGTGGGTCACAATCTGCAAAAGCCTTAATAAACTCCATTTATATGCATTATAAATTTCTTTCAGAGTCTTGTGGAAAAAATTACCTTTCCTCAAAAAAAAAATCATTCTAAAATAAAAACTTTTAGTGAATCATACTTGCCAGCTGCACCGAAGTCCACCAAGGATATTACTCTAACCACAGAAATCACACTTTGGAAGATCAATATCCTAACAAAGCTCACATCAGAAAAATAACTCAATCCACCTAAAAGCTGCGGATTTTGCTTTGAAATACATTCCTCTGATCTGCCACGTTCATTTCTCTGAATGAGCTTCAGTGAGAGCGCAGCTCTTTTGCAAGTCAGAGAAAAATGGCACAGTCATCCAGAAGAATGTTCCCCAAAGACTCCCTTGCTGTGTGCAGGAACATTAATAATGAGTCATCTCTACTGGTGGCATTTCAACATGACACACCCCAGCGTCACTCCTTGGTCTGCTAGGATTTTTGCTTTGTTTTCATAGCCACATAACCTCTCTGTATCACCACTGTATTGGTCAATCACATGCAGAAAAGAAAGAAAAATCATATTTTTCCTCAGTGGTACAGCACATGCACCGTAGTGGAGGGATAATTAATTCACAACTCCCCATATTTCCCTTGGAAAATCATTATGCTGGCTAATAAACCTTACAGTTATGAGGCTTTTATGAACTTACAAACCCTGAAGTAATTTCAAGTGCATGTGTGGTTTGTTCAGCTGTTTGAACACTTCTCACCTCAGTCACCCTTTCTCCCTGTGAACTCACACCCCAGAAATGCTTTGCATCAATGAAAAAGAACTGTGTGATTGAAAGTGTATGAGATTCCTGCACATTCACTCTTTCCATGACTAATTAGAAAAGGAAAAAAATCCCCAAACCTTCTAAGCAGAGCTATGCTGCCAGAGGCTGAAAACTGGAGAGTTTGGTGCTTAACCCACTCTGGATTTATTATCTGATCTTCAGGTGAACCACTTAAACCTCTGGTGGTTTAATTTTGCCAACTGTAAAACACAAGTAACAATCATCACCTACCTTTGGTGCCTTCAGACATTCCAGGGAAAACCCCATCTCAAGGCCAAACATGTTGTGGGATCAACTTCTTCCTCCAACTTTCCACAGAAATTCTTGTCATTAGGAAAGAAAGAATGCAGAACATGCTGACAATGCTACCTTATTTCTCCCCAGTAAAAAGATAAATAAACTACATATAGTATTTCCCAAAACACTGCACCAATTTCAGTTAAGACCATGTAGAACAGTAAAAAAATGAATAAGTTTCAATAAATATCTCTAAATAAAGAAAGAATTGTTCCATACAACAGCTTGTGCCAATTTATCCCTCTCCACCTGAAAATACCTGAGAAAACTGATGGAGATCATGGGTGTCCTCAGAACAAGTGAGAGCTGCACAGCATCATCCTGTGATTTTTCTGAACAGCATTTCTCTCTTGGGTTGCTGATGGGATCCCCCTTGGACACATGGTCAATAAATGTCCTGGAAAAAATGTTTTCATTTCATTATTTCCTTAACCAGTGTGAATGTGATACTTGGCACTTTCAGTACTGTGAATGGCTGAGAAAAGTGCATCTGCAACAGAGCAGGAATGACATGGAATTCGGACACATGGGTATTGCTGAATGTCAGAACACACACGCGTCATCAGTACATTTGGGGACTTGAAAACTTCTGTAATGCCAACTGAACAAGTCCAGCTGCATCACTTACCTGGAATTTAATGCAAAAAACCACACTGTGCTATGTCTCTTCCCTGGAATTTACTCCAGGCAAGAGTTTTTTGTTCTTTGTTTTTCAAATCAGAATTAAAAACCAAAACAACAAAAGAAAAAAAACAAAGAAACAAAAACCTTAAACAAAACACTACCTCTCCAGTAGATACTCACCATCATTGTCCCTTTTTGAATTGGGAGATGTGCTTCACTTTGGTAAAACACTTTAAGATTCTAAGTTACTGCAAACACCAATCACAGAAAGGAAATCAAGCTGTTCAGCTTTGCACACCTATATTCCAGTGCATACAAAAATCACAGAGCACTCCTCAATATATTTTCAGAATACTTGGCAACAATTAAGCATTAAAAAATAAAATCATGGCTCCATGTTGGCTCTTTGTTCCAATACTCAGGGGTGGAAGATAATCAAGTGGTGTCTTTCATCTTCTGAAGTTTGTAGACTTTTTTTCCTTTAAGTATACACATTACAAGGTTTGCAGAGGGTAAAGTCAACAAACTGTGCCCAGCAGCTGGAACCCAGAGCAGAGGAACCAGTTCCTGTTGGGGCTGAGTCTCCAGCTCCAGATTAGTCACCAGGAGAGCTGAGCCCTCAGACAGAGGCGCTTTGTTCTCATCCCAGAAAATCCCAGCGCACCCAGGGAAGCTCAGGATCGCAGAGGCCCCATCGCAGAGTTTGACTCTTGTGTTTAGGGCTCACTTGAAAGCTGGGAAATTCACAATGACCTGAAGTGCTATGTGCCAGCATTCTGCTCTCAGTGCTCAGCTGGGCTGTCTCTCAATGCTCAGAGCAGCCCAGGCTGCTGAGATTTAGAGGCCTGGGACACAATTTTATTTGCAGTGTACATCGTACAAGAGCTTGTGTTGATGGTCATTCCTATAAAAGCTTTTTATATGCATATAAAATAGATTAACTCCCCACACCACGGGTTGTCTTGAACATTTCCTGATCTATATTTACATTTCTTTGGCCTGCTGAAGAGAAAGTCAGCACAACATAAAAAGGTCCTTATTTATACCCCACAAAACATGTACCTTTGGGAGAAGGGATACTAAAGGAGTTCACATACCTACTCAAGGCAAGCAGTGTTGGGTGACAAGCTGGTATTGCTGCTCCCAGGTCTGCTTTTTAACTGGTTTGCCATTAGAGCAAGAGTTTATCACGTCAGCCTAAAACATTACAGTCGGTTAAAATCAACCCCTTCACTAGAAGAAAAGACATCAAAATTAATTAAGGAGACAAAAGAAAAAATTTGTATCAGACTATTTAACAATTCACACCATGAGAAGCAGGTTAATTTACTGCTCTCAAATGTGAGTAAAATTCAAGGATATGACTTGAAAAAAAAAAAAAAAGTTGATGTATTTTTCATGCTGCACAAGCCTGGCTGAATTTGCTTTATCTGACACTTACAGAAAGGATGATAACAATCCCTTCTCCACACAGAAAAATGTCATCTTCATAGCAGACTAATTCTGTGTCCTCACACCTGGAAACCTCAAGTCCATGACTGGGACTCAGTCCTGATCAAGCAGTTAATTTATACAAACGTGTCACCTCGGAAAGTAGGGCCATAGCACAGCCCAGGCCCTTACACACAAAATGTCTCTTCTCCAGCTCCTTGCCTCATTTGAAGTCCAACCTGAACACCAGATGAAGCTTTCAGAGCCAGGAGGAAGAAATGAAAAGATGTATCCAGCACATTAATGCTTCCAGGGCAAAAAATCAATGCTCAGTAGCAATCCTTCACCTCTTAAAGAACGAGAATGTAGGGTTTGCCCAATAATAAAAGCTTAATGGCAATTATTTTACATGGTGTCAGAGTGAGCCCCACACTGATCATCTGCTGGACTGTAACTCAAGACATAGAGATGCTCACCACTGACCTGCAAGACACAGCCCAAAGTCACTCCTGGAACAACACCTTGCTAGCAGGTAATCTTTATACGGGTTATGCAGCAGAGCAATGTACAGCATGCACGTTTTCCAGGGAGGCAGGGAAGTTTTACAACCCAAAATCTCCCTGTGACACTAAATGGGATCAGCTCACAACACTACAGACCTCACAGCCAGCAGGAGCTGTGTGTGCCCTATGAGAGAGCTCAAGGCAGATTTCAGTGCTTGCTTTTTATCCTCTCTGCACCAGCACAACACAAACACACCAAAGCAGAGTTGGGTGTCCCCAGAACAGCACCTGGGTGAGATCAGAGGACGTGCTGCTCCTGCAGTCCCAGCAGAAGGGTGTGCCAGGGACAGACAGCCTGTGCGAAGCAATGCCTGCAGCAAAGGGGCTTCCAACCAGAGCACCTTGGCTGTGTTGCAACGGAGTCATTTGGTACTTTCCCACATGGTCAGCCAGCTCTCCTGGCCAGCAGGACAGACATGCAGCAGAAACATCTTCCTTTCAAAGGATTAATCCTGGCTCTGGAGAGGTTTGTGATTTTTGGCAGTCTCAGGATGGGCTGTGCAAAGGGAAAAGGAACTTCTTTGCTCTCTCTCCCACACTGCAGCCACGCAAGGCCCAGCCATAACGTAGCTCTTAATAAAAAAGCACAGATGTGCCCTGTAGGCACTTAAAAGACTAAAAAGGAAAAAAAAAAAAGAAACAAAACGTTCCTGTGTGTTTCATAAATCGGTATATAAGCATAATGCAACCTACTATCCTAGACAGAAAATGAAATATCTTAAAAAGTATTGAATCCTCGGTGAATTTTCTCAGTAGATCGGCATGAAGCTATTTAGCCCAGATGTTTCCATAACGCTGATGCATTAGGAGCTGCACAGCACCGTGGCCAAGTGTTAACACAGTGAACTGTAATGTAAAACATGTAAAGATCCTGACTTCCAGAGTTATTGGAAGTTTTCACTCTATCCACTCTGCATCCTTAAGCAGCTATATTTTCTTTACAATATGCCCTTATATTTTAATGCATGTGGAAGAAGAACTAAAGCATTCCCCTCTCCCCCATCAAAATCTAATTCTGTATGTTCCTTGGAAGAACACAGAGAGGCCAACGAGAGATTGACACGGAGTCTTTCAGAAATGGGGATCTCACCTCTGAACAGCAAATCTCACACTCCAGGCAAAAGCAGGGCCAGCAAGGCACAGCTGGGTACCACATGAGCAGGTGAAGAAGTGATGGTGAGATTTCTGATGACAAGCTGGTGTCCAAAAGACAGATTGTCTCACCGCGAGGCTCTCGTTTGCATCTGTAATAGATTTAGGGATTTGCAGAGGTAGTTTTAGAGATATCCAAGCAGGTGCAATGTGTATGACAGAATGGCCTGACTGAGTGAAGAAGCAATAATGGGAATATGAAGCAGCACAAAGAAAGGTAACAGCATGTGCTTAGAAGAATGTGAGATAAAGACTGCAAGAAATAAACTGGCAGTCTCTACAGAAGAACAATGCAATGGAATACCTTGCATTGAGAGTTCATTTGGAAAAATCTTTGTCACTGTACTTAATTATTCAGAAGTGCTTGAAATACTTCAGAGATTATTTCTTCATTATTTATCTGCCAGGATGGGAGTTGAGAGTTTTGCACTTCTTTGAGACCTTGTCATCTTAAAAGCATACAACACAATCCTAAATTAATGAAAATTAACTCCTGCTACAGCCCTGAACCTGCAGCCACAACTCTGTTTCCATGCGATTACTTGCTGGAACAGACCTCACACTCAGACAGAAAACCAGGTGTGAAAGGTGGAGTAACTTCCATGTGTGGGAACAAAAAATGCCAACCTTTCATTTAGGCCTAGAGTTTCTCATGCCTTTTTAAGGGAAACAAATGTTCCTTGGGTTTAGGCTCTACAGAGCTAAACTGGTGCAATGCCCCATGAATTGCTGACTGCTCAGACACTGATTATTGTCCAGAGCAAAGTAGGCCATGGAGGCTTTGTTTCACTTTTACACAGTAAAAGTTTAGTAACCAAATTTTCTGTCATTGTCAACTGTTCTGCCTTTTCTCCCCCACCCCATGACTACACAGCAACTTGTCCTTCAACAGTATCTCCCTCCCAGCATAACCATTTAAATTCACATTACTGGCTGCCAGTTTTATTTAAAAATAGTACAGGACCTACAATTAATGAGAAGAGAAACCTGTATTTCAAAAACAAAGTTTGTAAAGCCATAGCAGGTGGCAGAATTTGTCCTCCCATGTAACAGAGCTTAATCCCAAACCTTCTATTACTCCTGGCTGATTTAAACCTTTCTGTTCCTTTTCAGTTGGATACAGTCCTTGATAGCTGTTGGACAAAAGCTGATGACATCCATAAGTGCTAGATAGCTCTCCTGTCTTTAACAGCCACAGAATTTTCATCTAGGCATGGAAAAAGTCAAACATCAGCTTGTAGGAGATTGTTCTACATTGTTTCTAAATTAGTGCTCTGCAATTTAAAAGCTAATTCTCCTATCATCCACTTCATCCTAATCTGTTTGCCAGCTCAGAGGTTAAATGAAGCAAGTATCATGTTACGTTCCTTTAAATTTGGAAAAGGAAAACATATGGGGTAGTGAAAAAAAAGAGGTGTAGTCTTCAGATATGTATCTTCAGATATCTTAAACTATGAAAATATTGTCAAATAACCATTATTGTCATGTTAAAATAAATATCTGAACACAAAACTCCCAGATAACTAATGACCAGAATATGGTAACAATTACTTCTTTTCTAAAACATTTTTTTGAAAACTGTGACAAAAAATCCCGACTAAAGAAAGCACTAATAATCATTTGCACATTTGCTTTGGGTTTAACTCACTTCCTTCTCTATCACTCTTCCTGTATGAGCTTTAGGAAATAAAAACATTCTTTTCTCCATTTCAAGTACAATCCTGAATAGTGAAGAAACAGCTTAAAAATTGCAATTATTACTCCCTCATATTCTGCAAAACTAGTGTCTCAATTCTCTTTTTCCATGGGATTACTAACAAGACCATTGCCTGTCTCTCTCCAAATAAGAGACAGTAAGGACCCCATACAAAATGATCACTTGGATTATCCAGTTTTTACACTTCATTATGTAGAATTACTCCCTTCCTGTATAATTTTCAGTGATGTTTAACTAGCTCCCAAATGGCTTACAGTGTCCACTTTGCTTAACTAGCTTCATTTTTTTCCCAAAATCTAATTGTTCCAGCAAAATATTCCTGACATATAACCCAAACTTCTCTTTTTCTGGGTGTTGGTTTGTGAAATGGGAGGCCAGCAGAAATACTGCATTTCTGAGTAAATACAGTAACAAGAACAGCAAAATGCCTGCAGAGGGACAAGAGCTCCAGCAGCTGAGCTGAGAGAAGCTACTTCACTAATATTTAATAGAATGTGTCACCCAAAAACATTAGGAAAGAAATAATTCATCACAACTCCTATACTCTGCTATTGCTCTGTCCCTAATCCGGACCAAAACCTTCGATATTCTCTCACAAGAAATGAACAAAACTTAGTGTGACTCCAACATATCTACATTATCTGTAAGCTTTAAGACTCCTGTTTTGTTGATCAGCAAGCTTGTGGATAGGCTAGTCCATAAATTCTTATATTTATTTTCACTCCTTAAACACAGCATATCCCTGAGTTTGGTGTCTTCTGAAAGAAATTTTCTCTTTACTTGGTTGTAAGAGCAGAAATGTTGTACTGAGTTGTTGGCAATTTTTGTCTATGGTATTTCTTGCTTTGCTCAAGAAAACTGAAGAAAAGATAGGAGTAATTTTGTTATGAAGAAAAGATTCCCCAGAGCAGAGGCATGGAAATGCCATTTATTACTGTAAAAACACAGGGAACAAGAACAATTGCAGATCCTCAGTTTCAGTTCCTGGGCACAGGTTTAGGTACAGTTGGTCCTGTCTCAAGTGGGATCAGGTCTGGTTCTATTTTAATGATTCCATTATACTTCTTTAACAACATTTACCTTTTTTTGACATGGAGAACTGCAGCACTGATATCCAGGGATCAAGACTGGTATCCATCAGATGTTGCTGGGGATATCTTTCCACAAACTATCAATCTGTCTTTGCCACTATGAGGACTTATAGTATCACTTTCTATTTGGCAAGACAATGCTAGCATTATATCCATTTACACCAGCAACAGCCTTTTTTAAGAGATTCAGGATCCATTCCTGATGGATTAGCTGTAATATTAGATCAGATGCAGAATGTTTAAAGTTTAAAAGTATTATTCCAATTTGGTCTTGCAATACATTATTAAGAATACATTGTTGAAATAATTCCTGCCAAGTTCCTTTAGGGCTGTAGGTTATAAAATATTTGTAATTAGAAGTGGGATTGTATGACAGAGGTGCTCTCTTTTTCTCAGACAGAGCAGAAGAGAAGGTTGATTTCACACACCAGGCTCTACTCGTGACAAATCCGTGCCTGTCACAGAGGTTTCGTACAGTGATGGACGGACTCACAAAACAGTGCAGCCAAACACCAAGTTATGATTCTTCATGCTTGACATGTCTTCATTTCCTCCTCCTTAGCCCTGCACCCTCAGGGATTCTGCACTAGGAGATTGCTCACCTGGAATACAAAACCCAGGGCCTCCACCTACAAACTCTATTTACTGGCTGCACTTCTGTAAAACTTCTGGGGGTGGTTGCTTACATTCCACCCCCACCCCTAATCTCTTCTTCACACCTTTACTCAGTCCTGGCTCCTGTGTCACTGCTTTTCCTGGCTCTCCAAGCTGTCTCACAGTCCTACAAAAACACCAGATGTAACAAAAACAAGCTGCTCTCCTTGCTCAGCATTTCATTGTGTCCCTTCCTCATTCAAATCCACCTGACAGATGCTCATCTGCTACCACATAAAATTTGTCCCGTGTCAAAACTTCTTTCCTCTATCATTTATCTCAACTGACAAGCTTTGCACTGGCCTATCCCTCCCAATCCATCACCCTGTCCATCTGTCTGTCACACTGCTCTACAACCACTCCATGTGTCTTTCCCCACAAAGAGCTCATGCCAGACACACACGTGTTTTTTAAAGACACTTTCAAAGCCCTGTGACAAGCCATAACTAACATGGGCTTGTACCCATCCTATAAGGCTCTTTTTATTAATTAAGGGACAGAATACACTTGTATTCTGTAATGTATTGTAATGTACAACTGCTCTCCATGTGGAAGCCATTCCTTTAGATACCACCCTCCTGGCAGGAAAGCACTGAAGCCCAGACGCTTTGCAGCTTTTCCAGTCAGCCAAGAAGCGCCCAAGTCACCAAAAAGATGCACAAGACAGAGGGAAAGCTCCAAAACAGACACAAACCAGCTAATTTCACATTTCAATAAATGCCAGGGTTGTACTTCTTACATAGGAGCAGCCCCTCATATCTTCTGAAGAAAAAAACTAAACCAAACAAAACCCACACACTGTATTTAATGATATGAAAATATCTGCTATAATGCACTCCTTTGCTCTTGATTAGGGTTTCCTGAGCTGCAAATTGTGCTGCCCCTCCAAAGTCCCTGCTCATGCTGTTCATGGTGGTGCCATGTCATTCCAGCAGAAGGAAATTCATCCATGCTGGTCCATGCACACAATCACTGTTCTAAAAGGTGACCACACTCAGTTACTCATGCTAAATAAAGCAACAAGACAATTATGACCTCTCTTACTCCAGGACATAAAATGTAAAGACTGGAGAATGGGCTTTCTAGCTCTCTGGCCTCCAAGACTAGAAAAATTTTGCTCTGGGACCTCCAGGCTTTCACGCTTTCAAAGCATGTGCTTGAATTTCCTAGAACACAGCAGATCTGAAACAAGAATAAAACCTTTTTTCTCCTTGTTGCAAACATGCCTGAAATGATAACCAGTGGAAGTAAACTATCCCTACTGAACAATTTTTGAATGCACATACCTCAAATGTAGCCTTTAGCACACTGAGAATTACACAACTGAAACTTCCAAGCTTTTAAAGGAATAAATGAGGTGGAGTTAATAACAGTCAGCAAACAATACAGAAAATGCAGAACAAACTACTGTACTCAATCTGTTGCTTTCATAGTACATAAAGGAACTCTTTTTTTTCCAGTGTAAACACCACTGGCACAAAACATCTATGCTGTAATGCCAGAGGAATACAAAATTCAGTGGTCTGTCTACGAAACCAACCTTGTCATTAAAGCTGTCCTTAGCTGTGGGGTCAAACAAAAACGTAGTTCTTCAGTTCATTGTGAGGACTGAGGCAGCAAAGGTGGAAAAAAGAAACCAAGTTCCTTTGTATTATGCAACAGAAGTGCTGCCTGTGGTTAAGGAGGTGACGCTGAGCCAGATGAACAGCTGGTACAGGCTGAGACCGAGACTGCAAATCCCAGAAATCAGTGGAAGTTAGAGGTGTGCAGCATCCTGACAAAACTGTGTTTTTCAAGCCATCAAGCACTAGGAAGTTTCAAAAGCATCCCAGTAGCTCCAAGCACATGAAAGGAAACCATGTCATATATGGTTTACTCTGCAGGAAAACTTGGGTTTGAAACAATGGACTCTTGGGGATGCCCCCTTGCAAGAACTTTCTAAGAGGAGATCCAAAGTCTGCTATGTGACTAGAACCAGCATAATCAACTATTCTGATGTAACACTGGTCATCTCTTCTGACTCAAATGCTCATATCTTTGAAATATAGGCAGATTATACTCATATACAATTGTCTGGGAAATAGCTGCTAGAAACAAACTGTTTTCATAAATCAGTTCACTCAGTCACTACAAAATTTTTGGTTTTGCCCCCAAAACTGCAGAACTGCAGAGAATTTCAAAGCAATTCTAAAAACTGTAAAACATTTAAGAAACAGACATTACCTTTCATCTGGAGGAAGCCCAAATACAATGAATAGCTATCCTTTTGTGGCATGAAACATCACTTACTGCTCCTTACAGCAATTACACCTGAAAAGCGCAACACAGGATATGGCACAGCTACAATAAAAAGGGTTAATTCCATCTGCAAGTCATTATGTACTTTGGTCTTCAAACAAAATCAGCTTTATCAAGAAACCAGCCATTCCATTGCAAGAGCCACCAAACACCCATTATTAATTGCACAGAATTATATCATCAAGGCCTTGCTTAAAGCTGACCCCAAGTCCAGCCAGTGCAATGTTCTTGCTTTGCCCACACCGTGTCTGCAAATCTGCTCTAAGCCTCGTCACACAAGCTCCACCAGTCTGTGCTCAAAGCAAACAATAAGTTTTCCATCTGTTTATAAAGCATAAAAGAAGAATCTAGAAAACAATTTGCTACTCCTTAACAAATAATAACCCTTTCTGTCCTTACTATGCTGACACAACTTTATAAACATCCCCTTCTTTTTGAGGGGGACCAAAACCAATGCCCTGAGGGCCCTGAGACAATGCCAGAGAAAAGAGGTGGATAATGGGAAGATTTTCTTCTGTAACTTTCTACCATGTCATTTACGAGGCTTTTTTGAATTAATCACATATGTTTGACTAGAGTAACAAGATATTAATTAGACTAATGGCAAGTTCCTGGTTCAACTCATTTGATGTATTTTCTTTTGCCTATATGAAGATTTTAATGTAACATCACTCAGGTTAATTTCTAAGATGTCTCTCTTCTTTCTTCATTCAGTACCTTCTGGCAATCAAACCCTAGGGCCTCACAACACTAAAAGTTCCACAACATTTCAGGACAGCTTTGATTGTAAAAACAGCAATTTCTCATCATATCATAGTAGGTGTGAGATAGTTCATTTGGCATAATTTTTCACCTGAAAACATGAAAATAAGTCATGTCAACAACAAAGTGAGATCACCGTGTTCTGTAAAGTCCTATAAGCACAGCATGGGTACAGCCAGCCAGAGAACCCTGGGCACTGTGAGTGCAGCTATCAATTATTTAAGGAAAATCTGCCTGCAGACAGCCATGCCAAGCACCTGAATCCACTTTTATGGTGGAAGTGGACACATGTGCTCAGGGACTTCATGTCCTTTCTGAGGAGCACTCACTTATGACATAGGAACAGCAAACTGAGCAAGACTGCAGTAAGCACTGGGATTTGAGGGAGCTCAGCCTGCTGTGGGTTAGCAACGCACCAGCTCTATATTCATTCATATTCTGTATTTGTTGATGCACAGATGAAAAGTCAGGAGGTTCAAGTGATCTGGCATAAATGAAGGTTTGTGTGTCACAGCTGCTTGCTTTGCTAGTACTTACATGAAAAGGCCTAATGAAAAGTTAAGTGAATAATGTTGCACACTGGAAAAAGTACTCCTTTTGACAAAGTGATTAACTAGAGAGCCTCCACCAGCGCTCCTTCGATGCATTCCCAGGAGAGCCTCTCATGTTCCTGCTATTCTTCATCCTAGATAAATAAATGAATACAAAACATTACTCAAATATGGAGAAAGTTGTTTTCAGCAATTGATAGGATGTGTTTTGATAATAGTGTACTTGGTATTGAAAATACACATATCTCAGCATTTACAGACAGAGCATTATTTCTCATGCTGTATTTACTCTCAGCTTAACAGAGCATTTCAAAGCCATTCAGTTGTGAAAAGCAGATGAATATATGATACTGCAGAAAACCTTACTTTTAAAATATTTTCTTTCCTCTATCAATATTCCTTCATAATAAATTATGAAGCTTATGAAAAATAACTTTATTTGAAGCAACCATAGTTTGAAAATATTCAAATCAATTCATACTTTGGTGTTTTTATAGGATAGAAATCCTTCTTTTCCATGAGGTATTATATGTGTTACCTGGAAGCACAAGCTGTGTCAACATTTGATCCAAAAGGCAATCGACATCAGTCAGAAGAAAAGGAAACCACACAGCCCCCCCAAGAAATTGAACTTACAAAAAATTTTAGGCTTGTAGGCTGTAAAAGCTGCACAAGATGAAAATTGGGCAGGGAGACACAGAAAAAGGGTTTAATGGGAAATGAAAGAGGAAAGACTCCAGAAAAGGAGAAGAAAGGAGTGAACACTTAGAGGAAAAGAGAGCTCTGGCGGTTTACAAGCAGAATGCCTTCCAGGAGAGATGTAGAAAATCTGGCACCAGAACTTGAAACAAAAGCCCCAGTGGGACTGAGACTGGGAGGAAAAGCAACGAGAGGGGAGAGATGAGCTGTAGTGTTGGCTGGCCACAAAACAAAGACCTTCCCAGCCACGTGTGTTGTCATGGCTAGCAGGCAATGCAGATAAATACACCTCCCAGTTCGTGGCATGAAAGCATCTGCAGTTCTTAGAGAAGAATCTAAATTAAGTTAGGAGGTTTTAATTCTGATTATATCTCTGATTTTTGACCTGGAGCAATGGTCTTGGGTCTTTTTGATGGTCCTGCTCTTATTCTGGTGCAACTGTTGTGCTGTCTCACCACTTCTTGCTCTTGTGTGCATCACTGGCACGGCCAGGCAGATGCAGAATCTCTCTCCCCCGTGCCATTAACACGTGGCATGCTGGAACTGAAAATGCCTGCCTACACTGAGAGAACTAGTGGTACCTTGGCATGCCAAAATGCTCAACAAATCAGTGTGCAATGGGTTCTCAGAAGTTGCAACAGAAAAGGTGGACAGAGGCAGGATTTGGGTTCCTATACCAGCAAATTTAAACATTTGAACCCCAAGGGACCATAAAGTACCCAAGAGTGACGAAGCTGAATGGCAAAGGATGAATCTGTGGGATTGTGGTACTAGCTAGCTCCATATGGCCCTGCACAGGTACGCTGAGCTAAGGTGCGCAGAGCTGCAGGCAGGCAGTCTTCCCTAAACACACATGCCAGGTTTGTGTCTGCTACCCCTCCCTCCTCTTGCTGGTGTTTCTGTTCTGCTGCTGACAGCAACCTCACTTGAAAATGCACAGTTTTGTGGGCTGTGCTGAGGGTGTTTCTGATGAGCATTCTGCTCTGTGGCTTGGACACTGATGCCACGTGTCGTGTGGATGCCTAGGAGGATTTTAATCCCCTGTAGTTCAGTAGCCCTTCATCCCATGATCTTAGGACACGCTGTTTCCCCCTGCCACAGCAAAATGGTGGAAATTACATCTCCCTCTTGTGTTTAGGCTGCTGAAGCTCATAAAAACATGTCTGCATTACGAATAGAACATTCCTATAACTTCACAAGAAAGAATTGTTTTCTTCCTGGCTCCTCTTCAGAGCTCAGTGGTTAACAGGGCCAGGCTGCCTCTTCTGAACACAGGAGATATTACCAGAGCTCTTGGCCATGCAGCACAAGAACTTCTGCCCAATCTGAATCAAGAAACATACTGTCTTTTGCAAAGAAGAGGGAAAGAAACATGATGGTAAAGTCTTACTTGGCTCTTTTCAGTCGAGCTGACAAGCTGTTGTAGGCTGGGTGACTGTAGGCTTGAACAAGTTGGCAGGAAAAGAACAGTGTTTTCCAAGCTGGACTCTCTAGCCAAGGCTGATGGGTAGCATAACAGACTGTATAGCCTCCAGGCAGAATAAAATCCATAAAATGAAAAAACCACAACAAACCACAGCATGCAGTCATCAAATCTATTCATATGTTCAGGACTGGCTGCATAATCAAAGGAAAATTACTTCATTGGGCTCACAGCCCAATAACAAGCTGGAAAGGGTGAGACTTTATTTCTTGGATTTAATTGAAGGCAATCGGGATGACATCTCTAACGCCATAAAGCTGATATTCCTTGAACAGTTCATGATGGCTTTTTGTTTACTGTAATCCCGAAAATGCCACAATACAAAGGAAATCCAGAAAATAAATGATGTTGCCATCATACAGAACCTACACTTTTAAACAGGAAGAATTTCCCTAACTTCAAACACAGCCAACACTTTTTATTGGTGAAATCATTTTCCAGTCCACGATGTTTGTCCTGGTTCAACAGGCATCTGTGTTTTAAGCTACGTACCCCTTTCATCTCATGACTCTTATTTAAGTTTTAATGAATTTGGGTGTTTAGACCACACTTTGACACCTTGGCTGAGGCAATACCATTAAGCAAGTGTACTCCTTATGAATGCCTACTGCCTTTCTCCATTCTTGGCTCACCCTTGGAAGAAAAAAGGCACAAAGGCAGAGAAAAGGAGCCAAGTAGTTTCTCCAGTCAGGGCAAGTATATCCTCCACTCCTGGGAGATGTCTGCCTGCCTTGTTCTTGACAACAAGACTCTTGAGAAGGAAGACACACCACCACTTGGAATTAGCTGTCTGTTTTGGGAGCTCAGCTCTTTCTCACATCAAAATGTCTTTTTTGCGCAAACTAGTTCTCTCCCTATCCCTAGGGGACATGGAGAATCAATCTGCACCATCCTTCTTACATCCAGCTTCATCAAGAGAAATGTCAGGCTAGCCTTTATAAAACAAATCAAAATCCTCCAGTTGCTCTAAAGCCCTTACTGCCCTGACACACTTCTCTGGGAACTTCTCTTTATTTATTTGCCTCAGCTCTTCCAAAATTGTATCAGGCCTCAGATGTTAGATACAATCATTAGCTGACTGCTTCAGCTCCTCTTTCAAGTGTTACACATGTCATGGAACTCTGATGTATGCCTAAATTAGCTACCTATTCTTAAACCTCTTTTTCAGTATTTAGCTAGAAGTCTAAATTATTGGTTGTCAAATGAAGTTTAAGGATTTAATTATTTGCATGGTGCCAGATCAAATGTATTAAAATTAATGTTCACAACATGTAACAGTTCTTAACATTTGATGCTGGGACCAAAACCAAACTGCTAAACAGCACAAAAAAATCTTGTTATTATGTCTTAATGAGAACCACTGATTATTTTTTACATTTCATTTGACAGTCTTCATCCTAATTAATTCTACATGGCAAAGATAAATTACTCCGGTTGATGAGGATCATTCTGACTCTGAAATACACTTATTAAATGAAATTAAAGCATGGTGCTAATCAGGCAAACGAGCATGTGTTGCCAACCAAACATACAAACCCCAACAATGAGATAATGACAGGTACAGTGACAGACACAAAGCACTGAAGAGACTAAAAGGCTTTGAGCTTCTCTAGGAGAAAGAGAAACCTAGATGTAAATCTCTGCAATCCTCATGAGGAACATTTTTGCTTTTTAAATTGTGTTTGGTTTCTATCTCAGAAATAAAGCAACCCTGTATATCTGCAAAGGGACTAAAGATTGGTAAAGTAGTGGACTGCCAAGCTGTACCAGAGCACAGGCCTCTGCTAAGGGACAGCGAGAGAAGTTTTCCAGTAATGCCCACCAATGTTTCCCAAGTTTTGGCACATTCGTCCAGCAAGTTATTTCAAAACAAATAAATAAAAGTCCGGATTCAACACCGTCTTCCAAGTGACTTTCACTAAATCAGGATCTATTTGTTAGATCTTGAGTCAAGGCAGTCCTGTGTGTGTGTGTTATGGGAATAAGCTGGCACAGGTAAGCAGCGCCAGCAAAGCTTGCATGTTGATGTGATGATAATTTCTGAATTAGCCTCAAAAGCTTTGTTTTGCTCAATGACAAGTGAGATGATTAACACCAGAACTATTTGCTTTCATTTGCATAGAACACATGGCTCCCTGGCTGAAAGGATAATTTTTCCTGGCAAACCTCTGACACAAGAAAGGGTTGAAGACAAGACCTGGCGGTGCAAATGTGTATGACAGAGGAACTTTGCTCTTGCTGAGCAACAGAGATTTCTGGCCATGGCAGAGATCTCTTTTGTGCATCTGAGGAGAGGGGAAGGCTTCTGTGTTTGCCTGTCCTGAGTGGTCTGGAGCTGGGCCATTGCTGGGGTGATTATGCAGCCTGTCTGCAGCCACTGTCCTCTGTCATTTTGGAAAACACATTTTTAGAGAGATACAGCCATGTTCAAGAACTCTAATGGCTTCAATTAATTTCTCACATAGCTTTTCAAAGAACAGACAGGAGCACAAGTAAAGTACCATGAAATACTGTGGAATAAACTCCTGAGTATATTATTTACTACTTCTGCATAGCAATTACTCATGGGTTTTCCAGAGAGAGGAAGAAAAGTCTGCTTATGTTTCAGAGAAATTAAGTCCTATGCTTCTCCAAATATACAAGAGGAAGTTCACCCAAATGTTTTGCTCCCTGAAGTATCCCCCTTCCTGACATTTCTTCTTTTGCTGGGCTGTCCCAGGGCATAATTAAACCCAGATCTTATCTTCCAGGGACAAACACAGGCTATATGTTAAAAAATAAAGTAGCTGGGGAGCTAGAACAGTTGTTTGCACTGTGTTATTGTCTAGATCCTTGAAGCTTTATTACTGATCTTTTGAGGAATGCACTGAAGTACAGAATAATAAAGTGCATTAACTGATATTAATCTCTTCCTACTCTGAAGAGATGGGAGTCTAAAATAAGCCACATACAAGAAGAAAAAAGATGGAGGCAGACTTTTCTATTATTTAAATTTGTGTTCAGCTCAACAGTCTCTTGCAGAATAATTTACACCTGTATTTTGCACCAGCATGAGGCAGCACTCTTGGGTCTACAGCTGAAATTCAGAGTGGAGGTGTCATATACAGACACATTAACTACTTGTTTAGGTAGTTAAGATACTTGGCTAATTGTGGTGATATCTACATTAGCAGCTCTGCACAGGAATAAATCATGTCTTGTCATTCTCTGAGTAAATTTTTATTTGGAGGTGCCACTTGGCTGTAAAAGTATAAATTTAATTACCTCTTTTTCTTTTTGGAGCATGGCACATAACGTAAAAGAGATATATTCCAACACAGGTATAATTGTCCATTAGTTTTTCCAGCTTACCCTATCTCTTAACAATTAAAAATGAATTGCATTTGCCATTTTCTAGAATGGAATCACTTTATACAGATAAGCACTGAAAAACTTGCTGTTTTAATAGATCACTTTTGGTGTAGGACTGACTTGACTCAATTATAATGACATTTTTATTACTATTGCCACATTTCCTTTCAAAGCTAAAATTTTAGTATCCAGTTTTTAGAAAGGTTATTTGTTTTCACCCAACAGTGGTGCAGGGGCATTTTGTCACACTGTGGTGTACATTCCATCCTGTTATCATTCAATGATGAGCATGGCTCACTCTGCCACTTCTGAAGACAATTAAGTGCATTTTGAACTAGGGGAGTGCCACCTTTTTTTAAGAGCAGTCTTCCCTGACTTCTAATCTGCACATACATTGATTTTTATGGCTGTCTGAACTCTCCACTATCCTCCTGTTCCTAAATGCAACAATGAAGAGAGATGATTGTAACATTCAAGATAAAAAGAGGGTGCAAAGATGGAACATATCATCTTGGTATTTAGTGTAACATGTACTTTACAAGAGCTGCATTTATACCCAGCACTGATTTACTCTGCTAAGTTGCTCAAATTCCACACAACCAGCACTCCTCAGAGATGTATTATTGGGGCAGATTCTTTTCCCTCAGCAGTGCTCTAGAAAACTAAATATAGATGCCTAAAATGAAACCTAGTCATGAATTGCAAGTGTAACACAAACCAGCATTAAAGCCAGTGAGAGCTCTGGGCACTCAAGAATGAAGGATACTTTATACAAACCATCACAGACAAGAATCACATTACTAATTAGCAACTGACCAAAATAAACAGGGATCAAGGATATCATGGAGCTAAAATAAGAATCCTTACTCAAAATGCATGCCTAACTTTTTCCTGAATTTTTCAAGTCCAGTTGACCAATAGTTTCTATGCTCATCCTGGTTCCCTATTTCTTGCAGGACTAGTAAACATATTTTCCAGACTTCTAGGTAAATGGGTCTACTTTTCTTTTTCAGAGAGAGAGAGAACAGCTGTACATCAGCTGGAGGAAGCTCTGCACTGTCTTTGCATGGTGGCCTATCCCAAAACTTCCCTAAGTTATCCTCCTCTGCCAGTTCTACTGACAACCTGCCAGAAGGACTTCTGTTCAACAGCAGGATTAGTTTCCATTTCACAAGATCCTAGCAGTAATTTTTTGATTGCTTTTTTTTCCATTGCCACCTCTTCTACATTCACCTCTGCTTTGAATTCCTAAGAGCAGACAACTCTTGCCTATCAATACAGGGATTTGGTCTTGCATCCTCCCACATCTCTGTGGGCACAGCAGGCTCTTCATGGCCTGAAAGGCTGAGAATCCTGGTTCTCCAACTGATGCCCGCTCTCAGATGTGTAACTGCTTTGATGCAAAGTTAATCCTCTCCCTTCCAGTCTTTCACTCTGGGGAATAAAGGGAGGTTGAAATTGCAAATTCTTAATCCACTGCCATGTTAAACCTAAGCCCTCTCCAACACTTCCATCTTTCCACAACGCCTTTCACACCGTTCGTCTCCACATAAGCCCACGCTTCTCTTGACTTCATTTACCCCTGGGAATATTTCAGGAGATGTAATCGGTGCCAAAACATTGTAACCCACATCCCTTTCTCTCAGGAGCAGAGAAACAATGAGGCTCTGGAGTTAGGGCTAAACATGCAAAGACACAAAGACCTCCTGCGCTGCTGTCACTGGTGGGGCAGCTCTGGCAGCACAGTTTGGATGAGCTGCTATGCCAAGAAGCCTCTTTTATACCTTTTAAAGGCCATTATAAACTGCCTAAGGTGCAGGATACCAGCAAAAGACCCAGAGTACCTTTCAGATGCAAATGCAAGAAGAGGAAAAGCTACAACTGGAGGCAAAGAGTCAGACAGAAATGTAAGTGCCAAACCCTGGCAAATACAGCCAAAAGCAGTGTGTGCCTGGCTCCACACACCCATACTGAAGCTTTCTTGGCCCAAGAGATAATCAGTCCTGGGGAGACAACATGGAACTGTTTTAGTGTCAGAAAAAAAAATCCTTTTTGCAGCACTGCTATCTTGTCAAGAAAACTGCTGTGCTATGGAAGATGGATCATATGAAAGATGGGCAACAGCCCACAGACAGTGTATGGACTTCCAAGATTTTACCATAACACACTGGTCTTTGCCAAGTGGAGGAGGAAACATGCCAGCAAAAATAGTTCTTCCTCCCAAGATGAGACCAATTACACTCACTTTGTTCCAGGCCAACAGCTTCTGGTTTCCCCCAAGTTCTGACTCAGGGCTGCGGGGGTCACTGCCTCTTACAGACACTTTTCCTCACAAAAGCTGTGAGCCTCACTTCTGGCAGTTTGCATCTTCTCTTTGCACCAGTGCCACAGTCAGATTTGGTATCACAGCCTCAGTTTAAACACCACTTGTTTATACACATCCTGCGGTTTCTCCAGGCAAGGTTATGCACATATAATCCTCCCTCAAAACAGGAGCTGCACTAAATATTGTAGTATTTAGAACACAAATATGAAGGAAGCATGCCTCAGGATTACTGTGGTACGGCATACAGCCCAATTAGACACACATGGAGTACTACATTCTTTTAAACTCCTAATTTTATTTTTTTAATGTATTTTCAGGATATTTTAGTCACCTAAACAAGCTAGCTAAAGAACTAACTTGAAAACATTTGGACCTGGACATCTACTACACACGTTACATTACACTCTTTTCTAGTTAAGAATATGCAACAGCTGATATAAATCAACAAAGCTTCTTTGATTTCAGTGCAGTGGTGCCAACTCATAATGTACAAGGATTTAGCTGTACTGTTCCAGCTAAAAACCAAAATTTTATTCAAGCTGTCCAAATACACTTTTTGACTCACACTTAAGAAAGAAGAAAAGAGACAGACGTGTTTTGATGAGACTAATCAACAAGAGGTGCCTCCTCCTTCCCCACAAATGCACATTTGTATGGCACTGACGACTCTCCAAGTCCCACCTTTCTCTCAAAAGAGTAACATGGAATAACCCCATCCTACTTGCACAGCATTCCTCTCTCTCTTCAGATCACTCCCTCACCTCAAATATTTCCTTTTGATGTCTCAGGACACACAAGAACACCAGCTTAGGAAAGGGGTCTGTTACCTGAGACCTTCAAAAATAACTTACTCAGAAAGATGGGAAAATAAACCACCAGCAGGCAGCAAAAACCTTGTAGGGAATTTGGTGTAAGAAACAAGACAGGTACTTACCAGTGCTCAGTGTCCTTGTTTTTCAGGCAGAGCTGTGCGCAGGTGTGCGTAAATTCCGTTTCCAAGTCATGTGGGAGGTCTCATTCTTCCCTGCCTGCTGAGATCCTGTAACAAAAACTTCTGTCACCCTGAAACACATTTCTGACTGCTGGCTTCTCTTATTCACAGGACTGTGAGAAGAGCTGGACTGCTGAGGATGGAAAAGACAAGCTTCTTTCTCTGCTGTGCACAAAACTGAGTATTTGTGCATTTGACACCCATGTACAAATTTTCTTCAGAATAAGGTGCTATTTCTGTCCTTTTGACAACACAGAAAACAAAAAAAAAGTGATTAAGTCTGTCTTCAGTTGTAATCTCAACAGGAGAGTCCTATTTCTGGGCTGAGCACCTGGTGATGTTTTCTCTGTGCTACAAGCAGAGAAATCACAGATCACATACCCAAGAGATATTTACTGGTTTCTTTCTTTAAAGAAAGAAGCATGTAAGAAAATGAACTTGCAAAACAACATTCATTTTTTCTTGCTTCACTTTAATTAGATTACCTTATTTGGGTTTAAAACACTTAGCTAAACCACAATAATCTGTATCCACCAGCTACAGATTTTTGCTATAGAATGTAAATGGCACATTTAAATGTTATTAGCATACAAACTAAATTACTTTTAGAAAGAACTGACTGTACAGATGCTGTGTTTTCACTTTTGTATATAGATACCAATACACACAACTTTTATTCCTCTGCTGTTTAGTAGCTGGTAAACAAACAAAACCTTTCTGATGTTTCTTTTCCTTCATCTTGTTGGGGGAAAACCATAAAAGCACAACAACAAAAACCATCAAACACTGCAAATTGTCAGGTTACTTCCACACTTCAAACCCAGGCTGTTAAATTAACAATCATAATTATCTAATGACCACTGCCATTAATGGGAATCCCACCACTGATATCAATGAACTATGAATCAGGCAATGAAGCCAGTTTTCACATTTCTTACAAAGTTTGAAATTATAAGGAGTTGATTAATGCTACATACAAAGATGCCCAAACCAGATCTTAATATTTACACTGGACACAAATAATGGGAAGTATGAGATACACAATAGTTGCACTTTTAATTTGCCACCTGAATCCTATACTAAGACAAAATATTATTATTTGACATCTAGAACAACTGGAAGTGAGATCAGAGTCCAATCCAGTATTTTCTGGAGAAAATGGAGTAGACTTGAGGGGAAAAACCCGAAGTCTTTAGACTTGTTTTTCCTTTGAAAACATTGCCAGATGAGACAGTCTCATCAATCCTGCAACAAAGCCTTACATGTAAATTAACAATTATGAGGATAAGAAGTATTAATTTACTGTCCCTGCACTTTCAGTGGAAAAATTTTATCTGTAATTTCCCCTAGAAATTGAGAGCTTGCTTTCCCTACGTGCTCGTGGAATAAGTGCAAAGCAAATTATCAAAAAAAGCAACTCACAACAAAAAGCAACTCAAATACAAAAAATATACTCCATTCAAGTGACTTGAACTATTTCACTGTCTACAGTCATTTGAAGACAGAATCCTAAGCTGCACTTGAAGGGAGGAAAAAGAAATATCTTGAAAAATAACTTGGCCTTACCAAACTCTACCTCAAGATCTGCAAACGCAGAGCTGTCCCTGACCTCAAGTCAACGCTGTACATAAACCTGCCACAGTTCTTTGCCCCTGATCCATCAAAATAGGAATTCCTCCAAAGACAAAGATGACTTATTTCTCAAAAAAGTGATTTTACCTGCAAGCATACACTTAAATTACCTGCTGAATCATGCCAGTCCTTAGTCTGAAGTAAAGAAACATGACTTGATTTCTGTTCTCATTCAGAGGCAAGATTCACAAAACATCATGTTGATGGCTTATCAGGGTGCTTTTCACTGACTACACTTCTTTTTAGCTAACTTCAAACCACTGTGAGCAAAAGATAAAACAATGGCTGACAAAAGCACAGAAAGACATTTTTCAATTTTAAGAATAAACTTAAATGTGGAGTTTTGGGCAGATCATTCTGACACAGATTCTGTTTTCCATGATATTTTCAGTCAATTTCTCTAGCTTCCCACCACATATACATAAATCAGACACACACTTTCTTAATTATTTCAGGGAGTGGCATTATGAATCTCTGCTTTTCTCAAGATCTACAACCTCATAAAATTAGAATAATGTGCATCATCTCTCTTGCATAGCTTCTGGCATATCATTTTTACCCTCCTTCCAGCATAATTGAATACTCCATGGGATATTTGTAGTAACAGTCATCAGTCTCTCTAATGAAAGAAGTCTGGAAAAAATACGGCAGTTTAACTATCAGATGCCATTTCATAAAAATAAATGCTAATGTTTTCCAAGTACATATGATGTTCTTAATATTATTAAACTTGGGAACTGTACATGAAAGCATTTGTATATTGAGCCATCAGGACTGGAGCTAAAACTGTTTGGAGAAAACAGGAGTAATTTACAGTGAATTTTGAGACATTTCCTTATCACCAGCATACTCACATAAGGGACAGCATAGACAAGGGCTGCTCCCAGGTGAGTTATCCATGCCCCTTTTTATTGCATAATAAACCTACACTGTAACTCTGTAACCTGCTCTGAATACCAGGTGGTATTTAGTTACACAAGCAACCCCACTGATTTTAGTCACATTTAACAGGGGTAAGAGTACTCCTTACAGACAAAATTTAGAAATCTGGAAGTTAACTTGGTTTCCTATTTTAGTTCCTGGTTACCAAACATTTTATTGATTTGCTTATTGCTTTCCTACAACAAATGCAGATGCATTCTGTTTAAATTTCTATCTCAGAGCTGCTATCAGCTGAATTTAAGTTTCTATTTGAGTACAAGCTACTATTTTTACAGAGTTGCTCCTATTACAGAAACCATAGAGAAAAGGCTGCTTACCAAATGTGGTAATAAGCACTGAAGATAAATCTTGGGCGTTGAGATAAACACAGTGTAATATAAATTTGATTGAAATTGACTGGAGATGCTACCTCTCAGAATTACTCTAAATTCAGCAGAGTAATTCAATCTTGAACAAGAGAATCAAGAACAAAAGAAACTCTTTGCATAGTAGTTACTGATTTTTGTGAGGTCAGTTCTAATGATCATGCTCCCTGGGAGAGTAAAGCACCACAACATACACAGCTCTGGAATTTCCAAAACCCAGATCCAAGCCACGCTTTAGAAATACATTTCCAGCAAAACTGTTCCTCTGAAGAACTCTGCTTTCATTTTCACAAAAATTCTTATTTTTTTATTTGTTATTACTCTAGAAGCCTCTTTTCTTACCTCCTACATTTAGTGTAGCTACCACCATGTTCACTACCCAGTTTATTCGGCCAGCAAATCACCAAGCTCAGTAGAGATGCAGTAGAAATTAAGGTAACAGGACACTGATTCTCCCAAGAGCTTCTCCATGACAAATATGGTATTTAATAAAATTATTCCATTGCCCAACCTGGAACTTTATGCTCCCTCTGAGCATGACATATCTTGCACCTATGAAGTCAATCAAATGCCAATGTTATTTTTGCTTTTATTACCCAGGGCCAGTAGAGCAGTTTCAGTAAAAATAATTTATACCAACTGTTTCCAGTTAATGGAAATTCAAAGTCTTCAGACAGTGTTTTTTATTTCTGGTGCTTGAATTCTCAAAGAAATAGTGAAGTATAATTGATACCATATGCTTTTTATTGTTTTCCACATGAAAGAATCACGATTTCCAGTGGATCATCGAATTCTGCTGTGGCAATGTGCCAAATCATCAAACACCAAGGTCACATGTGATGAAGGTAAAGTGTTCAAAGCAGGAATAGCATGTATCATATCTTGGCTTTGAAGGTTTATTTCAGTTTGTCTGAGTACACCCAGACAAGAAATTTTCTGGGGTTTTCTGCAATCTACAAACCATCTCCTTGTAAATTATGGGCACAAGCCAAAGAAAATGTGCAAATATTCATCACCAAACAACAGGATTACAAAACACTATCAGTTCAAAAAGTGCATTACAGTAGAGCCAAGCCAGTGTTTCAGACATTTCAGAAATGTTAATAACCATCAAATCTGAAATTAACTGCACCTACCATATTTCAGGAATATCACTGACACAGAAAAATAGTCTCTTTGTCCCACAGATGTGCCCGCAGAAGCATCATGTTTGCTGATTGTTTTGGGTATTAATTTAATCTGCTTTACTTGTCTGCTTCAAAAAAATCAACAGCTGAAGGGCTATTTTTAGAAAATCCTGCAAATCTTTCTGCTTTGGGGAAAAAAACCCCACTTTTCACTTTGCCTGCAAGTCTACTGCACTTAGTCTTACTCAAGCAGGCTGAGTAACTGGATCTTTTCATCATTTTCAACTGATTTTGTGATACTACTTCCTACCTTTACTTCTGCTCTATCATTTCCAGCTGAGAACTTCTGGAAGGAGAACATCACTTTCATGATATGTGCTTCACACAATGGAGAAATGAGACACACATCCAAGAACTCCAGTTCCAGCAGCACAGGACAATCAAAAATCAAGGTGTGAGACTACCCACAAAGTGATAGCAGTGGCTTTTAGCTTAGACAAGGCTTCAAAATGCAGGAGACAGCTTCCTCTCCTCTCAAAGTTTGTTCTTCATGTCATAAAAGGAACAATGTAACACAGAGAATGACCAAGCATCAGGAATAAATCTGGAGTTACAAAGGCTGAAGTGCTTACAGGGGTATTGTACATGCATTTGCCATCAGCACAGCAACTTCTCCTTTTCGAGTCATATTCAAAACCATTTCTAAAATAATGGACATATCAGCAAAAGAATTCACCCAAGGCTGAGGAAACAAAACTTCCATGTAACAATTCATGATGCCAATAATATCAAAAGAAGTCCAATTGGCATATTTTATCCAATGGTAGGACTTTGGTAGAGAAACAGGAACCCAGGCAGATTTTATCTCTCAACTTCTCAGGCAGGAAATTTAATTTTTCGCCTTCTGGAAAGGTTTCAGTTGCAAAGACTTTTGAAGGAACATAATGACAGTAAATTGATGGTTTTAAAGAGAGGAAATACTAAATTTATGGCAGGGAGTATGCTATAATCCAATATCTTGGCCTTTGTTAGAGGCAGAACAAACATCACCCCAGGGCTTGAATGACTCTGGGGACAATCTGAGAATCTGTCACCATGGCTCCTCCAGGTCACAGATAAATTGATGGAAAAAGCAACCCTCCCTAAAACCATGAGCAGGCAAAGAACTCTGAGAAAAAATCTCCTTAGTTCTTTCTGCAAAAAATATGCAAAAGTGTTATCTTGCTGTTTTAAAGTTTTCCCTATTTTTTGCCTTTCTGCACGCTCTCTTGTTCATATATAACTTAGCCATGAAGTTAATTTCTAAAAACATCTCAGGGGGTTTCTGGAATCTGCTGGCAGAATAGAGGTAGCTCAGGATAGAACAAGGTCACCAACATTTCCCACAAGAAAATGAGAACTTACACACCTTAGAAACATTACTTTGTCCTTTCACATGATCATCAAGGCAGGAATGAGGATGCTTCATTTTTTTTTTTTTTGAGGGAGGATAAAAACTTCCAGAAATTCTCATTCTCATAAAAGAATCTGGGTTTTATCCACCTGTCATTTCTACAGAGCAGCATCTGTTGTAAGATGACATGCAAAAATAGCAGCAGTATGCATATGAGATGCAAATCAAATTTTTTACCTATCAAATATGTAAGAATATAAATCGAGTGCTAATACCTACCTGCTAAGGTTTTACAGTCAGGAGGACACTTTATATTTGTCTATTTTTTTAACTGGTTATGAATGCAGTATTACCCTTGCAGCTATCATATTTTTCTTCTCCTCATCTATTTACTTTCTTTTTGTTGTTTTTAAATTACACATTCCTGGGCGTCTGCCTACAGGAATTTGGACATTCTCAAAGAATGGGGGATGCTTAGGTCTGTCTCAGCAAGGGGAAATAAGATGTGGTTTTGCTGGCAATTGCTTTAGAGAAAATAAAAGGACTGGGGAGGAATCTGAAGTATTAAAACCCATTTAAGTCCAGCTCCCTGTTGTGAATTCAGCAGCTGTTTACAGCCAATTTTGGTCTGTGTCTTCCCCTCCTTCTCTAAAATAATTTGTATTTATGCTAAACACATACCAACTTCACCCTGTAAAAAATGTTTAAACCTCTCACAAATGAGCTTCCACATAAATACTGTTGGATAAACAATACTCAAAGAAGTCGAGACGCTGTAACAAATAATTGGAGCTGATGGCTACAGCCATGAAATGCTTTTGCCAGGGGCAAATAAATTAATAACCTTGCTGTTGTACTGTACCATCTCTAATGCAAAATTCTTGTCTTTACTACTTATTTAGACATGTGCAACGAGACATGAAGCCATGGTTTCTGTAAAATCCCCTGGAGGAAGCTTACAGAGCCAACACATCAGGGTCTGGGGTTTGGTTCTGATATTGTGTTCTCATATGTGTTTCCAGCTCTACATATATAAGATAAGAAGCAAAACAGCTCAGTTCTCCAGCAGAAATTCTGTCACTTGGCTTGAGAGATAGCAAGGCATTTAATAGTTTATTCTCACTCCTATACCCTGCCTCCTTGAAAATTTTATTTGAGGGAGGCACTAGCAGCAACATGTGCTGATGGTGAGCACATTTCACTCCTTCAGGTGTACTCTGAGGATTTACTATGCTAAATGTACTTTCAAGCCAGAGGTGTATAGCCTTTGTTTCTATATATTGTTATATGTGTCCAACAGATTGTATTTCCTCTTGTAACACAGAACCCATCTGGAAATGCTTCCAGTTGTACACAGTTCCTATTTCTTTGTTGAATATATTCAACAGAATGGCCAAGACAAATGGGAGGAAGCACAAGCTTTTAAAAATAAACAAACTGAACACAAGACAGCTCTCAGCTTTGCGCCACTTGTTCAACCCCAGCCACACATCTGAATTAACAACATTTTTGCCAGACGTCTGAGGCATCTCTGCCTGTTCATTTACTCCTGTTTACAGAGGAATATTTAACAGGCTATCAGTTCTGTGGAAAGGGCACTGCAATTTCACCTCGTTACTGCTGCACATCCATCGTGGTCAACTCTTTTCTTTGCGCTCCTTCGCAGCCTGTAACAGCTCTGGACTCCAGGGCCAACAGCATGAATGCAATTATCCAATCTCTCCAGTTACTTCATGCTCTCCTGTGAGAATATTCTGAGCCATCTGCTGTCAGCACCAGTAGGCCTGCTGTCCCTGGAAGCATGTAAATTAGCTCAGGGTCAAAGAACACAAAAACCTCTTCTCCCAAATGCTGGTCACCATGTGGCCTTGCAAGTCACAGCTCTCGCAATCCCATCCCAAACACAATCCCTGCCCACATCTCATCGTGAGAGCCAGGAACTGCATGGTTCTAAGATAGCAGGTTTTTTACTTTAAGAACTTTTCACCATGGATCAGTGCAGATAATGAGTGAATATACTGTCTACTTCTAAAAGATGTGTGTTTCCCTGATGAACTCTGCTTTAACACTTAATTCACTTGAACACAATTAAGCACAGGGAAGAGACAGCCCGTGTGAGCCTGAAGGAATGATTTGCTGAGACTGTCACCACTGCTAGCAGATGGAGCAGAGCTGTCACCAAAGCAAGTGAGACCTAAATCCCAGCTGGGAGCCCAGGAATTCCCTAAACTCCCTCATGCAGGAGACATGATGAACTAGTCCCCCACTTGCCAGCTCTGTGGAGAAGATAATCCTGACAGCTTTTGCATTAAACAGCTCCAAACTTCAGACACATACAACTGGCTGGCAACTGAGTAAGTCTCATCAAGGAGCTATAGCTGGGACTAGAGGTGGATTTTGGATTTCTTTCTTTCTTTTTTTTTTTTCCTGAAAAGGCCATATTTTACTGCTACAGAGGATAATGTAAAAAGACACAGGTGCCAGAGCATGCCTTGTCCACTTTAGTAAGCAGAGCATCAGTTTGGGACTTTGGAACACTGCCCTGTGACAAGAGTCTTGCATCCTTGTCCAGAAACCCTCTGCTTATCCTAGGGTAATGTAGATTGTAGAGGAAAAATAAATCAAAATTCCACAGTTCTCTCTGGAATAAGACAGGATTAGAAAATTACACTAGAATACCAACAGAGTAGATCAAATTCAATTTTGGCATCCAGAGCCAAACTCTGCAACACGAGCAGTGCTTTTGGCTCTCTTTCAGCTTATTTAGACAGTAGCACTGACTCTGCAATTACATTTTTCAGTATGGCAAAGTAGCTATTATCTCTCCCTCTTTTATTCACATTTGTCACAGCAACGTCCAATCAAGCACAGAAACATTATACAAGATAAATGTGACTGAGCAAATCTGAAACTCAGCATCACTTTTTCTTCCCTTTCAAGACAGCAGATAAAGACAAAAAATGTTCCTGGAAGATTAACTTGATTAATAAAAACATCTGCAGGCTCAATGCTGAAAAAAAAGCAAAACTTCTCCTCTGATCCTATTACTAGGAACTGTATCAATACAGACTGATAAATGTCCCATTTTTCTAACAAAGTAACATGAAGGAAATAGCTGAGATATACACTGTTATGCATGCAGAGAACCTAGTAAAAAACTCAGATAATCTAGAAATATAATATTGCATTAATGAGGAACTATGGCTGATAAATACTGATGATACTGGAAAGCTTTAGGAAAAATACTTCAACATTGGCACTGTCCAACCCAACTAGAAAACTCTTCTGATTACACTAATCCCCAAAGTGGATTTCCAGCTAAGAGCTTTCCTAACTGAAAAGGTAGCAAAAGCTCAAGGCTGTCAGACTGCACCACAGGTTTCCATCCATGTACAGGAAGGTCAAATGGGTTTTGTAAGCTGAGTGCTAAAAGCAGTGTTCAAGGAATAAAGCAGTTAATGCCTGAGCTCTGAACACTCTTCAGAATCCCCTCACAGGCTTGCAGAAAAGCACAGAACAGCCCTTATAACATCTTGTAGCAGTTCTCCAACAAATGCTGCCTGGGACTGACAGCATCCATAAGGCTTGACATACAGTGCCTTGGTAGAAGAGGTGGGCATAAATCCTGTCCATTTCACCAAAAAACATGAGTGCCTCAAGGATGTCTGCTTCCTCTTCTTTTAACTTCTCCACGGAGACAGGCACTACTTATGCATATTGTGTCCATATTCTGTTTTATGCTACAGATAAAATATTGCTAATGTGATCTTCAGGTAAGCACAACAGCTACAACCAAAGTCATAGCTAACATGGCGTGATTGAGGGGAAACATAAATAAGCTTTCAGGGCTTTTCTGTACTTTACCTGTTCTAGTTCACTTTGGTGAACATTCTTCATTCACATATTGAATGAATATTTTCAAATATTTTCAATATTTCAATATTTTTCAATCATGCACTATGCTGATTAAGCATACTGTGGATAAATCATAGCAAAAGATGTGGGGTTATAATAGGATAATGACAAGAGAGTACCAAAATCAAGAATACCTGTCTACAGGTAACAAAACAGCAATTTTCATCTGCTTTTTGGGGATCAGCATCTGTGCTCTCACCATATATTTTACCCTTGTTTTCCCTTTTCCCTCCATTCTTGCAACACCAATTGTCAAGCAATGCTTTTGGTCAGCACGCACCAGTAAGTACATTTCTCCATGTGGAATTCCTGCACACACACTTCCTTAGGAGTTCCTGACAGGCTGTCTGTGCACCAAGTATTTCACTTCAACTGTTCCACCTGCTGTCTGCACTATTACCAACAACAACAGTTTTTAAAAGACCTGATTATTATTGCCCAACCTCAACCTCCATTGCACCCAGGAGAGTCTCCCTGATGTCTTTCATAGGAACGGGCTGTGGCCTGAGAGCACTTTTGAAAATCCCCTCCTCAGCAACAGGAGGGAAGCACAAGCCACCATAAATCACATTAAGAAAGATCAGAAAGATATAAGCAATCTGTTAGACAGGTCTTTCCCAAATTAAGACCCCCACCCAGCAAAAATGATAGAGACCGAGCTCTGCCTCATGTGGAGATGATCACACGAGCGAGGGCAGCATCTCTAAATAAATCCTTATGCACCCTCCACAAAGACTGCACAAGGCAGTATGGATGCTAGCTTTGGAGCAGGCTGCAGGGAGCTGCAGAAACTGCAGGCCCATGGCCTCTCAGTCCTGCCTGAGAAGCTAGCCTGGGAATTCAAAGTCCTTGTGTTTACCTTGCAGGAGAGAGTCAGGGGGGCAGTGCCCCTGACCAATGATGGTGATGTAGCACTTTGCTAGCCAATAAGAGTTTCTTTTCTGTACTTTCCACGTATCTGTCTATAAGACAGACCTGAAGCAATAAACTAGAGGAATTCTCGTGTTGAAACTCCCTTGAGAGTTTGTGTCGTTCTTTCTAGCCGTTCCCAATCGGAACGACAAGGCAGTACAGAGAACAAAAAGGAGCCACAACAGCACTTGGTTCCATGTTCTTCCAGGAATATATTCTCTTTGGTTTGAAAACATTCAGGTCTTATTTACCTTCTCATTACTTGCTCTCAGATAACCAAGCAAGACACAACTATTAAATCTGCAGATGAATTCTTATTATAAGAATTTAGGGTTATGACAAAGACAAACATTCCTCCTTTTGCCTGTTTTTCTGCTAATTGTCTCTATTTTGGTTTTTCTCTGGCAACAAAGGTAGGATTCACACAAACAGTGGAAACCATCCACCAAACAGCACAGTATTCCATTAGAAAAGCAAGGCTTCCTAAGTGGTGATAATGTACAACAGAGCACAGGAGTCACTGGTGTAAGCTGCTGCTATGGAATTGCTTGGAAAAGAAACCTTTCCCCTCTGGCAGGCTGCATTCGTGCTGTGAGCTGAACAACAAAGTATGAATTGGGAATTCAGCCTGCAGGAAAGGCATGCATTGCATAAAGGAATAAATAAAACCTCGATTTTCTGTCCAAAAAAAAACCTCTTCAGGAAACTTTCTCTCAACCTTTGCACGGAGTGCAAGGGCCCACTGTGGGCAGCACTCAGTTGTGTAAACAGGGGTATGCAGTGGCATTTTTGGCTGCCCCGGGCCATGTCTCCTTGAAGCTGACAAATGAGCCAGGACCTCGTGCTCTTCTGGGCAAACACAGGCCCAAGTGAGTTGTCCTGGGGCATCTTCCAGAGCACAGCAGGGATAAATGCTCAGGAAACCAAATCCCACCCACAGCGCACGACTCGCCAGTATCGGGGCCTGCAGCCTTGGGTCTGTTACAAGCAATTCATCTTCTTTGCTGGCTGGTTTTTGTTATGGAAACAATCTGACCAGAGCAGGTACAAAAAGATGAAGGAGGAAAACAGACAGAGAATACGGACTCAAGTGTAGAGTCCTCAAAGAGCCAGACAGGGATTCCAAGGCAAAAGAAAATCCTGCCGGCAAGGCTCTCCTTCCCACACATTTGCTCCTGCTATTATCATTCACATTCGCATTTACCTTCTATCTCACCTTGCAGCGTGGAGCAGCATCTGAGTGCTGCACAGTGGTAACAGGTGGTGATAATCCCACAGATTTCCTTCAAGATATTATGGGAAATGAAGTTTTCACTGTCTGGCCCACACCACTCATGGAAGAATGTGCAAGAGTAAGGAAGACAGCTGGGTGGGGAGGATCTGCTTCTGATTAGAGGGGAGGAATATTGTGCACTTTGTATGAAGGTTCCAAGACCAGAAATCATCCTATGCCAATGCTGGCATCTGCCTCTGAATTTCAATCTTACTCACTCCACAGCCACCTAATTCCAGCTGATGTACTTAGGGCCAGCTGATGCTCTGCTCTCCCAACACATGCTCTGTGTACAGCAACGCTCAGCCGTTTTGGAGGCGCTGTGCTCTTCCTGCACTTGGAAAAGAGTGATTCCAGTCAACACAAAGAATTTATCTCTTTGTTCTTTCTGAGCACAAAGAACAACACTAATATCTTGAAGATATCAAAAGACTTATTTCCTGAGTTAGTTCAGAATGATTTTCTAAGAGCTCACCACAGCTGATAGCCGAAATAAATGAAATTGCAAACAATATTGTACAAAGGTCCTCAGTTAAAACTGCCAGTTTCATCAGAGAAAACAGGCATTACACGTCTATATGCCATAAATTCCCAAAAGTTTTCCACTGCTGCTTTGCAGTGGAAGCGCCACTAAATTCAGGAACTTAGAGCCATAAATACAGCAGTGAGGTGCAATTAAACACCTCCCAGTGTAAGCCATGGGTTTTACACTCATTTTGCAGCACTATAAAACAGTTACATCCAGCACAGGCGAGCAATGAATCAGTCGTTCCGTGCTGCACTGGCACTCAGACAACAGGAGCTATCCGACAGTCAATGGAATCTCATTTCATTTCAAGGAGAGGATAATGTTTTGTCCCCTCTCCAAGGAAATCCCAGGGGGATTTATGTTCCAGAATGGACTCCAAAGCAAACACCCAGAGTGATGATGCACTGAACTACCTTCAAACCTGGAAACCACAGCAGCTGAAACTGCACAGCCTTTCCCACTTTAAGGTCTGAGCACTGGGATTGCTAACTCACGCCGAGAGCTGGGCTCTGCTCCTCCAAGGATCAGTGCTAGTTTATCTGCACAGTACTGAGTTGCACATTATGGCTGTTCCAAGCCAGAGCAAACTTAGAGGTCTTTGCACTCCTTTTCCAGTTACTTTTGTCCTAACTTGGAGTGCAGGCCTATAAAGAAATGCCAGCAGCAAATGTAGAGGGGTGAATGTCATCAAGCAGCAATGGGTTGGCATTCTGCTTTCTTCAAGAGATGACAAACTCAGAGCATGCTGATTTCTAGTAGTGTTAACTAATGTAGAATTGTGCATTTTAATGTAACTGCAAATGGCATCAGAACTCTTGCATGAAACCTCTGATACCATTCAGGAGGAAAAATCCAGAGAAATTCTGATGGTATTCCAAACATGATTTCATAAAATGCCTATTGCCACGTGCACAAATGTAATAAATCTGATAAAGGAAGCAATGGTGCCATTAATACTGCATCTCCTCAAGTCTGGCCCCACTTTCAGAGGCTCAAGTTGAGTCTGTTGATTCCAAGAGCCTGATGTTTGAGGCTACAGCCAGAAAAAGAGAGACATTACCAGCTCCACGTCCTTGTCTGGGCGGAGAGCATGTGAGAGCTTTGATGTGGATGCAGAATACACGCTGCTCAATCTCATGTCAGGGTTCCAGTTTACTTTGCTTCTGGCTTCACATGCAACACATGTTCAGTTGTTAGAGGTTTTCTGTGTATTACCTCACTGTAACAAGTGACCTCGTGAACTCACACCGCTAATTCAAAAGGATTAGCGACATTTGCTCGACATTTCTTTGAACTTACTTCGACTAAAGGATGGGCTGTTGAACAGAAGTACATCCTCCTGTAAAAATAATAGAAAATAGGCTTTGGTATCTGTTAAAAACATGTGTATCAGCAGGAAGCCTCCTGTTACAAGAGGGAATTACTTCTGATAACGCACAGAACTTTGATCAAACCCTTTTTCTCTGCTGAAATACATTGACCCCTATTGTCTTATGCAGTTCCAGTGGCTGAGCAGCTTCAGCTTCAATTACTGCAGCGTGGCTTTGATAGATCACAGAATCAAGTAGGCACAGTAAATTATTCAGAGTTCTAGATCATAGCTGGTTCCAAAGTATTCCCACTAAACTTCAGGATTTAGGGTATTTAGCAATCTACAAACAAGACTTTTTTTGTATTTTAAAGAAAAATTCACCATTAATTAGAAGATAAACAAACCATGCTGCCTTTTTTTGTTTTAGATTTCTAATGTGTTACTTCCCAGTGTTGCACTCATTGAATATTTTGTTTTATTGTTCAGATTTGGAAACAGAAAGCTCTAAGGAGAATGAACTGAGGAGCAGACAAAAACCAAATAAAATAGAAAGTGCAGCACAAAACCTATGTCTCTTTTTAACCTTAAAATTGTCCCATCTGGTTGCTAAGACAGTCTTTGCTGTAATGTCAGAAACAGAGCTCCATAAACAAACCCAGGGGTCCTTCCTCTGCCACTTTGGGATTCAAAGCCTTGGGTTATAAAACCAGCTTTTCCAGGGATAGACTACCACAAAACACACTTTAAAGCAAGTGATGCACCTGCCTCCCTTTCTCTTCAGAGTGGCACATCCCAATCTGCAAACAACTTTTTATTCCAGGCCATTGCTCTGCAAAATAGGACAACCACAGGGCAAGGCTCAGTCCATATAATGTGCATGTCATAAAAGTGAGAAAAAAAAAACCAAAACACCAGAAAGTGTACCTTCATCAAGCACATACTGTGCTTTATACAATGCTTCTTGGTTTCCAGCTCTTGTTTCTCTCTTCTTGAACTGCAGAGAAGACCACTTGTCTTATTACGTGCGTACAGCCCCTAGCTCAGCTGCCAAGGACCTCCAGGCTTTTGCTGAAATGTAGAAGACAAATAAGATAATGGAACACACACACTCAGGGTCAGTCTCAGCAAATCTCTAGATCAAGTATCTTCCCTGAAACAATCAGCCCTTTAAAAGAAGCACACAGCTTTCACCTATTTGCTGAGTTTTGTAACATTTGTTTTATATATAGAAAGATGGGTGGTGGTGGTGGTGTGAAAATTAACTAAGTGTCGTGTCACTCCAAGAATCTGACAAAACAATACAATATACTGTTATCCCATAAATCTAACCCAGGCTGGAAACTGGCCAGGACTGCACCATTTGAAATACAGTTTGCATACTGTCACATATTTTAAATCTAAGGGTAACAATATATATCAAAAGCAGATTATTCTCATATGGGGAAAATAAAATAAAGGAAAAAATAATTACAAAAACATAGTCAAATCCCAAGTTAAACCAAATCTAAATAATAATCTCCAGGCAACCATTAATTATGTGGTGTCCTCAGTCAATTGAAAAGCCACTGCTGCATCTGTGGCCTGGGGGACAGGGATGGGAGAGATGGGAGAGCTTTGTTGATCAAATAAGCCACAATACTTAATGCAAATTGAATACTAAATACTTTATTTGAGCAGATATTCCAGGCCCAGAGTGTTGCTTCAGACACTGTGCAGTTTTACAGCAGTCTGTCCATTGTCAAGAGCTGAGGTCCTGCTGGCACAAAATACCCAAGGCCAAGCCATGCCTGAAAGGATTCAGATCCTCTGCACCTCTCACTCACCCACTGAAGGGTCACCAAACTAAGGAAGATGTCCACTGAAGATGATATGGCCATTAATTTTAATGATAACACAAGAAGCTGTAATGAGAGTGTGCCTTGCAATTCTGTTCAGTTCATAAGAAATTTAAAGTTTCCATCTGCACACTATTTACTGAAACAAACCAGCACAGCACCCTCCCTTCCTCTTCAACTAATAACAGGAAAAACAAATCATAGTGTGGCTGTTCCATCCATCAATAATTCACATGTAGGGCAAATATCCATCTGCTGGGTGATCCTGAGCAATCTTTTTTGGGTCAGCAATGCCTGTGTCCCTTCTGCTGGGTCACAGAAACAGATCTCCTGCTAATAAAAAGTCAACATGAGTCTCTTGAACTCTGTGCATATGTTAGTTTGCACAGCATCCAGAGCAAGAGTTTCATTTTGCCGTTCAGTTTTCCAAGTTCAATTTTTACCTGGATGCAATTTCCTTCAAAAATTTTCTTTTTTCTTTCTAACAAGATAAACTCGCTCAAGAAATCTTAGGAAAGCAAGGGGTGGACTTTGAAAACTGTTAACAAACTGTCAGACTTGGATGAGATCACTCACAATCCTCAGGGGAATTTAACACTTGAAAATGGCAGAACTTGTAAGAAATAGCTGCAGAATTTCCTGAGTGGCTGCATCCTCCTGAAATCTTGCTGAGTTTTGCAACTTTTGCCTTTCTACAGTGAGATAAAACTGAAGAACACCATCGAAGGGAAAGGAGTTTGCCTTGATTGTACTGGCATTGAAACTATAGTTTGATTAAAAAAAAACAAACAAGCAAGTTCTGTAAGTGGTTATGTTCCCATGAGTTTACCGGAATATGAGTTTGCCTATCACAAGATGTGATTTACTGCTTTTATCTTTCCAGATACCAACTGGTAAGCAAACTTCCAAGTTACATGCCTGACTGCACAAGGAAGATGGATTTTGAATCACTCACAAGCCTGAGCAGAGCACTCATCCCCCCTTCCCCACTCAGAAACACAAATGGTGCCACACGACTTATGTGGAACTCGGCGTTGTTTGGATTTCTAACATCAGATTAACACACTGAAAACGTAATCACAAATACCAGCCCTGAACAGGAGAGAATGAACACATTCCTTCAGAGGACACAGAAGTTAAATTACTCAAAAAGCTACTCACTGTAGACTTTTCACTGAGATGTAGTTAAAATGTAAACAACCATTGGAAATTTAGTTTGTTTTTCCTCTTCCTGTGTTATGCAACGTGCTCAAGTTACACAAGGCTGTTTTTTCAGCTGGATCACAACATGGTAGCACATTTGCAGACCAGAGCTGATGTTTCATTAATGATCTCCATAACAAGAAGATCATTGTTGTCTTTTATGTAAATGCTGGCCAAGTTACAATCACATTAAAATTTACTACATTCTTTTGGATGGCCCAGTATCAGAGAGCAGGTCATGCTTCCTACCAGTAAGGACACTCCAACAAAGTACAGGCTATTTTGGGTGAGTGCCTGGTGATTAAAAAAGCCACATAGTTAATGAAGTCTGCCAGCAAAAGAGGAAATCCCAGTTGTTCATGTCAAAACAAGAAGAGAACTTGGTTTGTTAGGTGACATTCAAACTACTCCATATAAAAAAAACCCACTTTGTGCAGCTGAAACCCTTCCCAGTAACAGAGTCTGATCTAACAGCTGACTGAGAAGAGTTTCAAATTCTAATTTTGCCACAGACTTCAGAGCATGGCCAGGCCAATTCATTATTTCATCATTTATCAACCACAAACTAAGAACAGTATTTGATTTCATTTTTAACTATTTATCCAAACTGTAAGCCCACTGGTTAGGAACAGCTAACCTGTTACACTAGAAAGTGACACAGCATCCCAGGCTGGGAGAAACAACAAGCAGAAGACCACAGTGCACACCTGAAACAAAACTGTCATTCTAAGAGTAAGATTTTCAGTTGGCCAGTGAGGTTTCATTTCACAAATCTCTCAGCAAATACATTCCCTCAATGAAAAACTTTTAGCATAGTAAAGAACTATTATCATATTAAGGAAAAAATATGCACATTTTAAGCAGAATCACAGTTTTAGGTACAAACTAGCAAGAAAATGCTCACAACAACACATGTAACACCCAAACACTATTCCAAGCTGCAAACAAGGTTGTCAGACCAGTTTTTTTTTATTACAGTTTAAGTACTAAGTTACCAAATAGAAAAACATGCCCAAAAATCCACCCAGTGCCCTCCTCACATGCAGACTCTGACACTCACACAAGCACCATTTATGCAAACTGGAGATGCTTTAGGGAAAATCCAGCACAAGACAGAATCAATAAAGCATCAGTAATAAGCAATTAAGTTTTGTTTTTTTTAAGAAAACAACTACAAAGAAACCACAACCTTACTAACCTTCAGTAAATTTTCCACAGAGGTTGCCACACAGTGGGCTCCTCTTGGCTGGGTAAAGTGGGAATCAGAGAAGCAATTCCAGAGGGATATGACACCTTCTCGTTCAACACAATGCCTCCTTCTCTCACCAACACTTGTGGGCCTCCTTTGGCTTCTTTAGGAAATACTGAAATATTGGATAACTGCAAGTGCAGTAGGGAACCAAGTATCCTGGTATTTATCTTCCCAGTTTCTGCTTGGACACATAATTAACATAATAACAAGCAGCCAGTCTCAAGTGTTCTTCTTAATGAAATTAACAATGCCAGCTGCCCTCTATTCAGGCAGATCTGAAAATGTTAGAAAAATGTGACTAAAACACCCCATAATTGAGCACTTCAGTAAAACAGGTATATTTTACTGCAGGTAATATTAACAGCTACATTCAAAGTTAAAAACACAGTACAGATTGTGTCAAACATACCAGAACACAGCTTTTCTAAGGATCTTGAGCTCTGCATAATTACTTATGTTAGGAAAAAAAAACCCAAACATTCCTGCTTCTACCACTTGCAGATGCATTTTACTGGGTCACATTTTATCCTAGAAATCCACAGCAGTGCACAGCCACTGCAGTGAGAGTTTGAGCAGGGATAGAGATCTGGCAGGTGCCTCTGGAGAAAAGCTGCAGAAACACTGGGAGGAATATTGGTTCAAGTTGTGAAATCAGCAGGGAATATATCACTCATTTTGCACATTTGTTCTTCTGCAAGTAGATGAATGCATCTTTCCAGATTTCTTGGAGAAAGATCTAAACAGACAGAAAGATGGCCAGGAAAGGAAGAGTTGTGAAGGTGACATGGAACAGCAACAATAACCTGAAGGGAAAAGGCAAAGAAGGGAAAAAAGGCTAAGAGGGAAAACAGATTTTGTATCATACCTAATCTACTCCAAGGATTCTACTAAAACACAAGATTCAGTGGAATTGAGCACATAATGGTAGGATATTCCAAAGAAACACTTCTGACATTTGCTGGGACTTTTGCAATGGCTAAAATTCCATTTTTCTCTATTTCACATGAAAAAACACCTCAACTTAGAGGAAAGTATGAGCTCATTCTGCATCTCATCTGCCATACACTTAGACTCAGATATTCTTTCTTCAGTTTCTACATTCTACCCTGCAAAGTCCCACATTTTAGCTGTTTCTTCTAGAGAACAAAATCATTCTTGCAGTCTGCTGCTAGCATGCTCTCACCAGTTATTCCAGCACCACCACTGCAACAAGAATGCTGTGAGGAAACAATTCAGCCTCCTCAAAAGAGGCAAATTTGTGTTCAGAAAGCAAATATGGCTAAATGAAAGTATGAAAAAAAAATCAGTCATTTGTGGCCACACAGGACATGGAGTTCTTGGCTAGGAAGATCTAAATTGCCAGAGCCACTGCAAGGGATTCTAGTGAAAGGAAACACATGATCCATTAGCAGCTGTTTTCTTTTCCCCTCCTCACTTCTACACCTACTTATCTATTCTGTTCTGCCACTGAATTACTACACAGGTTTGGGCAAATCAAATGTTACCAGCTTGGCCCACAGAGACCCTAAGTTTCTGCAGCTCCTGTTTCATTCAGTGCAAGATGCAAGTGTTTGGGTTATTGGCAAACAGGGAAATTAACTGCCTTGTGCTTTAGTTCCCCAGTCCAGAATGGGGGAGCAAGTTGCCTCCTCCTTTTCTCTGTTATCTGTTCTCCTACAGCAGTGGAGAGGTGAGAAAGCAAGACAAGGAAACATTCAGAGGATTTCTTCAGGAGTAACAAGGATGTGGACACTATCTGAGCCAGCCCAATAATTAGA